GTTGAAGCCGGGGCTCTGCTGCAGCAGCAGGGGAGACGTACAGGACACAGAGGTCATGTCACAACATCATGTTGTACAACCTGTTGTTCGAAAAAACAGATCAACATAGATCTTGAAAAACTGTAGGTAGCGCTTTCTTCAGTCACTTAGGTAAGCTTTCTCGCAAGACGTTACATTAGATTGACCACTCTTGACAAAATAATCAGATTGAAACTTAGCTCTTGTGCCTGATGCACTTACATTTCAATTTATTGAAATAAAACACTCAAATTTACCCTTGAAAATTGTTGACATTTAAATGATATTAATCAAGATTTGATGATCAGCAAACAAGCTCAAGCTATTCAAATCACACCCAAATCAAAATAATAACTTTGGCAATGTTGATAACTCTTGCTGTCTTATTGAAAAGCAAATCTTCAATTTGTTCATATCCAAATTCAATGCCAAGCACTGAAATCTTGTTGCAAGGCCCTAAAAACAACAGACAAAAACAAAACAGACAAGGCCCGTCTTGTGGAAATCGACAGTGCGTTGCGGCGGCCTTGGCGAAATTTCCCAAGGCTGCTCTTTGTTTACATTTTAGTGATGGGCCAACTTGGCCGCCCAAGTACTTGTTTTGCGTGAGTAAGTACAATTTTGGTAATTTTGAAACGGCTATATCTCGCAAATTTTGGTACCGATTTACATTTTATGCATATATTTAGAATCGGCAGAGTCTGGGGAGTTCATTGATTGGAAATTTATGCCGATTCCTTTCAATTTTTAAACCCTGATAATCCCTTTAATCATTCGAAGGACAAAATGTGACTGTGGGGAAATAAACAGGTCTCAGTCATACTTTTTAAGGCTTTATAGATATAATTTTGTGACAGCTGGTTGGATGTGACTGAGAGAGACTCAAGTATGACTCACATGAGTCACCCTTAACCACGGAGTCAGCTGCCAGATCGACTGTTTGGTCTGGCAACACGATCTGGCAACCGATCCTCGGCCCCACGACTTCCTGTCCCGACCGGCAATACTAACAACACAAAACACACAAGGCAGGAGTCACGTTCAACGCCACATGCAAAGCCAAAGGCAATGGGCGGTGAGCAAATGAGTGCTACACAGTAAATGTTATACCTTTCTGCTTCTACAGTTTGATATTATGTAGGGTGAAGTCGTATAAGAGTACGCACTTAGTGGATTTCTTGCTCTCATTTGTTTAATATTTGAAGGAAAGAAATCGCAAATAGGGAATATTAAAGTTCATTGAATTAGCCATCAACCCATGGGGCAACGATCCTTCAGCGTAAATGGAAGTGGTCTAAAATTGACATTTTCTGAATCGTTGCACTTGCGTACTCTTACCATATGGGGTGTGTAAGAGTACGCACGCCAGGCGGGTGGAGTACGCAAGCATATGAACACACACCTATGCAGCTTGCACTGTCCAAATGCTTAACTTCAAACTCAGAAGGCATTTAAGTTAATTCTAGTATCCAAAAAGAAAAACATAAAATAAATCTTTCAAGTCTATAAATCAGGAAATAATCATGTCGTGTGTTTCTTAAAAAAATGCACAATCAAAAAGGAGAATAACTCGTATTTGGAAGAATTTCGGGTACGCATCTGCATCACAGTGCTCCATTGATGATATACCTACAAAACAAACGTCATTGAGCGATAGATTAATAATTCTATATTTCTGTATATTCGATTTAAAGGTAGTGTGCCACCTTTGAAAGATTTCCCATTTTATTTTTACTAGGATAAGAAGCTTCTGTTTTTACCTAATATCGCAAAAAAAATCAAAAATGGGCCTGGAATAGTGCCTTTTTCGCCTAAAAGTTTATCGGTTTTTAGATATGTATAACAACTGTAGTGGGCTCACCTGCAAACAGGCGTCGGGCAACAATCGCGAATGCGGCGCACTTGTGACAATAAGCAAAGGTCATTATAGTGTTACGACCATACGACGTACGGGAATGAGTTATCAGCTGTCTAATCGTAGACAACACAATGTCGAGCCTTAAACTGTAAGCCTGTATTGGTATTGTTTCTTATTTGGCTGTCGAACATTAATTTGTGGTTTGAAATATGATTTTATGTAAAATAATTGATATGAAACAGCCGTCTCTTAAGTTATGACCCCATTACACCACACGCAAGTGGCAGAAATGACAATGATCAGCTGACGCATTTTTCTTGGCCGAAGTCAGAGCGCGCGGCCCGACGCACCACGCGTATTTGGAAATTCCGACCTCGACGAGCATCAGAAGCCACCCAACAGGCGTGTTCGAAACCGCAGGAGATGATGATGAACGGGTTTATCGAAACTTGATTGGATGAGCCTATCGGTAATAGCGATTTTAGTGTGTGCATTTATTGTTCATAGTGGTGTGAAATGTGGTTGGGGTACGACCGACAACCCGTCGGGGCGAATTTCGCACTGGGGTACTCAAAATTTGAAGAATTTAAGACGTTTCCATAAGTTTTGAAGGTATGGATAAGTTCTAAAAATCCGGTTCTCCTTATCCGGGTCATTAACTCCATATGGTCCAGGAAAGCTGGCACACTACCTTTAATGTATAATTCTGCGTACTCTTACCCTCCTGAACAGTGCGTCCTCTTACCGTACATGCAATTCGCGCACAAAACAACCCCGAAACGTTATGCAAAACTTCGCAAACAGAATATTGCACTGTACAGTATTTCCCCACATAACCTCGCAAGTTTCCCACAACAATCACGGAAATGTACCTTATCTCAACTGCCAAGTATCAAAATTATTGTACCATATCATAATAATATCATAACGCTCGAAAATAATATTCATCGCCTTAAACTCAACAGCGTCGCCGCTCAACGCCCACGTTCCGTTGGTGACATGCACGCACTGGCGGCTTCATGTCACTTCATGAACTCGACAAATCCGCGTTGCTTAGCAACCGAAACAGCTGATGCGTACTCTTATCGCCCGCGTACTCTTACCCGCCCTTACCCTATGCTATCAAGTCAAGCTTTTCCTGTTGTACCACAAAAGTTCTACATTCTCCAGTCTACGACAACCTGTGTGTATCTAAAACAGCTGCCGAATTAATGTAAAAAAAAACTTTCCAATGAAAAAATATTTTAAATTTTCATTCTATGCAACAGAAAAGAGTTTCAAAACAAACAACACAACACCAACGTTAGTGAAGGGGTAGGGGAGAGCGATGGTAGATGACACAGGCGCCGCACAAACTATGAAGAAAGTAATTCTAATTGCACTTGCTTCATGTCTAGCATATCAGCAGCATCTCACGCAGCAGCAATACACGCAGCAACAGCAGTAGCACACGCAGCAGCAATAGGCACACGCAGCAGCAATACACGCAACAACAGCAGCAGCAGCAGCAGCAGAACTCTGCGGTTGTGATGGTGTGTGGTGTTTATACGAAACAGGACGTGCGAGTCAGCTGCAGGGAGTCAGAGATGGCACAGAAACTAGTGCAAGAGTGGGGAGGGGAGGGGAGCCTGGAATATGCGGCCCGGCAGCCGGCAATGGTGCGTAATTTTTGGAATGTAAACAAATTACAACACAGCGCAAAAACATGACCTAATACCGAGAATATCTATTTATAGAGTTCATCGTACGATGCCGATGATGATATACATTTTTGGATGTCCAAATTCGAGATGTTATCGGTGCAAGTTTCAATGCGGAAGCGAATCTTCTTGGAAGTGTATCCCATTTTTTAATTTTTATGTAGTTTAATGACCTCCATGAGGCTGCCAACATTTGTGTCCGAAAGTTACAAATATAAACATATTCAGGTGCATAAGTATCTAGGTCAAACGGGCACAAACAAAAGCTCCAGTTCCAAAGCTCTAGTCACATGATTTAGTCCTAAAACGCACGGTGGTTCAACAAACGCCGCGCTGTATTTATTGACCTAGTCTGCAGCTTCCAGCAGTGTCCCCCCCCATCCTTCCCCTCCCCGCTAGCTCTGCAAAGGCAATCAGCTCACTGTAAGGAAAACAAGATGAATGGACTCCAGAAGTCCAGACTATGGTATGGGGAGGGAGAGAGGAAAGAAAGAGAGAGGGAGAAAGAGAGGGAGAGGGAAAGAGAGAGAGGAAGTCAGTGAGAAGAAAGAGAGAGAGTGAGAGAGAGGGAGTCAGTGAGAAAGAGAGAGAGAGAGAGAGAGAGAGAGAGAGAGAGAGAGAGAGAGAGAGAGAGAGAGAGAGAGAGAGAGAGAAAGAGAGAGAAAGAGAAAGAGAAAGAGAAGTTTATTATTTATAGATTTTTATTTAGAGAAAAAGAAAGAGAAAGAGAAAGGGAGAGAGAGAGAGGGAGAGAGAGAGAGAGAGGGGGGGGAGGGAGAGAGAGAGAGAGAGAGAGAGAGGGGGGAGGGAGAGAGAGAGAGAGAGAGAGAGAGAGAGAGAGAGAGAGAGAGAGAGAGAGAGAGAGAGAGAGAGAGAGAGAGAGAGAGAGAGAGAGAGAGAGAGAGTTCATGAACAAAGTAGCTAACACTTTGCGTGCTTAGTGGAAGTCCCAGACAGAAGCATTGCGGATATCGACATGGGTCGATTTACCGTCTCTTTTAAGCCATTGCCTTTAATCATTCACTGTTATGGGCCATTGATAAAATGTGTAAAAGACGGTTTATAAAAGAGTTTGTCAAGTCTCATCAACAGATCATGAGTTATGAGTCCTGGATCCGGATTCCGGAAGTCGTTTTAGTCCGAACCAGCGGCCAATGGCCCCGGTTCAATTCAGTGAACCGGTTCAGGCTCGAATGAAATGTTATTTAGTCCCTCGACCAGCTCTCGACCAGTGGCGACATTTTTTGGTGACTGCATTTCTTACCGTCTCTGCATACAAGAACATTGTATGCATCTCAATCCACAGCAAAGGTTCCTACCACAATAAAGTAATACAATAACTAAGCAATCGGGTGCAATAGGTAGGTACAGACAAATATGTCACACCCTTCATCTTGTTCAGGACATTATCACCCTAAACTCACCTTAATTTGTCTCCAAGTCCTCCAGTCGGGTCAGGCAGGGGGTCCGACTGCTGGCAGTGCTCCCTCCTTCCGGCCCGCCTCTCTCGAGGTATGTCAATCGTGGCTGAGCTGAGATCGGCCGTCGGCCCAGCTGGGCTAGTTCATTGAGACGACACTAGGGGGACAACCCGCAACCGCCGCCGGTGGCGACATCTATGTGCTAAGTTAAGAACTGTAGCACCTCTGCTGCTGCTTTGTAAATGGCCCAATCGTGTGGTTTTGCTGGGGTTTTTTATTCTGATGGAATGCTTTTCACTCCCGATCTGCCTCTCGACACCTCCAAAAATCAGGTACATTGATTGATGGATTTTTGGCCAATTTTCGTACACATCGATGATTTTGTGCTGCTCTTCTGACTGGGTGGGGGGCTCTACAAGCCTACAGAGCCCCCTCCCGTTTTTCAGCAAATTCTGAACCGTTTAACGGAATAACACGAAACTTGCAGTACCCTCAGCGGCATCAATTTGACACCTTGTGTTAACATTTCAACTTTCTAGCTACCAAAGATTGGCCGGAGATGACGTCAGAGTGACGTCATGTCGCCCGATTTTGATGCAAAATATTAAAGTACGGCAAACGTTCTCAAGAGCTCAGTCTTGAAGCTAGATCCATTTTCTTTGCTTGAGTGAACTACAAATACACGTAGCTATCAAACTGCTATGTCGCATTTTCAAAATTTTGAAAATTTTGAAAAATATGTTTTTATAATTAAAAAAATATATTTTTATTTTCTTTTTAAAAGTTTTCGATTTTTCGCAAAAACCGGAATATATGTGATAAAACGCACTCTGATGAACTACACTAGCAATTTTCAATCCAATACCTTTAAAAATAGCCAAGTTATTCGCATCATTGTCAAAATTTTACAATTACATATCTTTCCAATTCATTTTTTCAGTATGTTTTTGACGTCGTAGAGCAATATAAATGGCACCATCGTGTTCCTGAGCTCAAACTGCATCTGATAGGCACCTTTTTGTTGAAAAGTTTCAATTTCAAAATTTGACCATTTTTGACCTAAAAGTGGCCTGAACTCCGGTAAATTCAGCTGGCAATGACCTTAACTGACACAGACGACACTATTTTCGAAATCTACGAGTAAAATGGACCATAAAACATGCGTCACGTGACCGATACATGATAATGATATACAATTTTCGTGACCTAGGATGACCTGACCTTGACCTTAAAAATCCGAAGTAAAAGTTCGTTACCCTCAGTGTATCTAGGACATCTATCAAGGAGTGCGTAAACCAAACATGAGCCTGATCAGACTTGGTAGCCGGCGGTCAGAGCCCAAATTGTGAACTAGCAAAAATGTCGATAATGAACTTTAAACGATGTTTTATTCTAAATGTACGATGACCTGCTACTATTGAAACCGAGTAGACTTGGCTTGTAAGCTTGGTTAATATGAAGTTTCCAATAGTTTTGAGTCAAAACTAAACCTTTTGACTTAACCCGCGCGGGGCTGGGGTCTCCAGCCGAACGCGCGGGGCTGGGGGGGGTAAATTTTACCCCCCCCCCTGTTATCTCCCGAACTAATGGTCCGATTTGGAAAATTCAAACGCCAATCGAAAGATCTCATCACGAACAACTAAAAACATGTACTTAATTTTAAGTTTGAGGTCAAGGTCAAGGTCAGGTCAAGGGTACAAATTGCAAGTTCCTACAGTATCGGCCTTGCACCGTAGTTGCCGAAGAATGGAGTCATGGACTGAGACTGATCGCCCAAAACGTGTTCTTAGGCTACCAAGACAATATTCGTTGCATACAATATCATTCAGAGGTCAAGGTCAAGGTCAGGTCAGGTCAGGTCAGGTCACCAAAAACAAAATATAGAAAAGGGCATGTGCGACACATGTTTTATGGGTCATTTTACTCATAGAATTCAATAGGCACACTCAATAAGTGATATGGACCACCTCTGGATGAATTTCAGGTCGAGGTCAGGTCAAGGTCAGGTCAAGTGAGGTCAAATTTTGAAATTGGTTGTTAAGGCCTAAAAAGGTGTGTATCTGATGCAGTTTTTCACGGCAAATCGAATGGTGCTTATTTTTGTTTCCGTACGAGGTCTAGAACTTCCAAAAAAGTCATTTCTCAAATTTTTTGTGTGTCGTGACGTCACAAAATTTTGAATAACTCCCACATTTTTGAACCGATTCTTTTAAAACTTGGTATGTAGGTACACATAGACCACTTCTCTGACATATATTCCGGTTGTTTCGATACACTCAAAATTTTGGATTTTATAGCTATTTTCCCAAAAAAGTCAGTTTTTTTTTTAAATTTGGGCCAAAATCCAAAAATTTCCAAAAAACCGAGATAGCCATTTGATAGACAAAGTAGAATTACGTATATCCTTTTTTGTTACGTCTTGATTCCTTTAAAAATGAAGATGTTAGCGGCGTTTGAACTTTTGCCATTTTTGAGGCGAAAATGGCGAACATGACGTCACTAAAACGTCAATTTCTCAAAAAATTTCAGACGGATTTCGCTCAAATTTTCAGAAAACATGTCAAATTGATGTAAAAAAAAGGTACTGAAAGTTTGGCGGCGCTGCGCGCCGCCGTTTTCGAGATATTGCAAAAATTCGCGAGGGGGGGGTAAAATTTACCCCCACCAGCCCCGCGCGGGTTAAGACAGTGTTTTTGGCTGCTTTCCGACATGTAAGTCTCGTTCAAAACGCTGCTACTTCGCAAGGATTCGCCCTTCAAAAAATGTTTAACCCATTTTTTTACATGATCAGCATGTTGTAGCCATCCATTCCCCGACGACAATAAGCTATGTTTCAGATAATACATGGCCATTTCCTTTAATCCTGAAACAGAGTTTTACAACCGACCCGATTCAGCGACATTTTCATGTCTGACCTTTGATCTGGCCCCCACCTTCCCTTTACCTTTCTTGTGAGCAGTGAGCTCATGAAGGGTCACTGAACGGATTTGAAAACAAATGCCACTGCTTGAGGACGACTGTTACAAATGTTCATGCAAAATTCCGACGGCGAATTTTAAGCTGATTTAAAATTATTCACGAAAACCATGGCCAGTACCTGAAGGCTAACATTCGGGATACCCTTTAGCGACTTTGCCACGACCTTGTATCAATTATCAACTGCACTTTGCAACCACTCTCCACTCGATACGATCCCGTCATGAGCCACCTGGTTCATGTGCTGAACGATAAGGAGTCTGATAGTCTGCCCCTGTTAGGCAGTGACACTGACCACTTGCGTGAAGCTTTTCGGACAGCTAGCCAGTGTGAGAGAAGTCAGGTAACAAATACAGCAACATCTACGAGACGGATTTTTACCCAGTGATCGCGGTGTCACGTGTGTGATTTGTTTGGAGTGATGTGATCTGTGTTGTGTGTGTACGGTTTGATGTAGTGTGCTGTATGCTCTTATGGTCTTGATGCAATGTGATATTGGTGATGTTTGGGTTTTAGATTCTCTCTCTCTCTCTCTCTCTCTCTCTCTCTCTCTCTCTCTCTCTCTCTCTCTCTCTCTCTCTCTCTCTCTCTCTCTCTCTCTCTCTCTCTCTCTCTCTCTCTCTCTCTCTCTCTCTCTCTCTCTCTCTCTCTCTCTCTCTCTCTCTCTCTCTCTCTCTCTCTCTCTCTCCCCAGGCTGCTCTACCCACGGGGCCGGCTGGGTCACCGCCCCCGCGGCCCCAGTCCAGTCCGCCATGGGGAACCACATCACACTGGAAAGCAGTGATGGTCCCTCGGCCCGGAGAAGACACTTGGCCCGGAGTGGTCCATCGTCCCGGAGCGGTCCATCGTCCCGGAGTGGTCCATCGGTCCGGAGCGGTCCATCGGCCCAGAGCGGTCCATCGGCCTGGAGCGGTCCATCGGCCCAGAGCGGTCCATCGGTCCGGAGCGGTCCATCGTCCCAGAGTGGTCCATCGGCCCAGAGCGGTCCATCGGCCCAGAACGGTCCATCTGCCCAGAACGGTCCATCGGTCCGGAGCGGTCCATCGGTCCGGAACGGTCCATCGGCCCAGAGTGGTACATCGGCCCAGAGCGGTCCATCGGCCCAGAGCGGTCCATCAGCCCAGAGCGGTCCATCGGCCCAGAGCGGTTCATCGGCCCAGAGCGGTTCATCGGCCCAGAGTGGCCCATCGACCCTGAAACTTTCACCCGTATACTCCAACTCGTCCCAAAGCTGCAGGTGAGAATACGCTATTAGCGAGCAAATTGAATATAAACGGACTTTGAACCTAATGATGCAATCTGTAAGACCGTCTTCTGCACGCGACTTGCGTCAATAGTTCAGTACCATTCCACTTCTCCGTCGTATCAACAGACGCGTTTATATTAGGGTTTCTTGCAAGCTTATATTTCCGTCTATGATGTTGCAAAAAATGCCAATGGTGCTTTACAAATTATAAAATGGTCTCCTCTAAATAGTTGAAGACCACTGCATCGAAATTATCGCAAAATAAACGAGCTAGAGGCCTCGTCAAAAATGCTATGTAAACGCGACTAATGTCAGCGCAGCCCACACAGAGTTTTTCGGACTGTCTCGTTCTCAGTCTCGTTCAAAAATGTCGTCTCACAGCACTGACCATCTGGGCTTGTGCAGTACGACGTATATAGGGTTCACTTTTCTGTACAACTGGCAACTGCTCCTGTTTGCATGAGACAAACGGGTTCACCCGTCCCCTCATGAGAAGGCCGAGGCCCTCCCACTAGGACCACCTGAAGGCTCAGTGCCTGTCGAGGCCCGCCACAACTAGTTATATGTAAATCAGCTGAAGCTCAACAAGTCGTATCCAATCGAAGCATGTTGAACGGCAATTTTTTCGTTCTCATGCTTATCCCAGCGAATTTCCTGCTGTTTTTGTGATATCCAGCTGAGTTAGGTAGGTACAGGCAAGGCCCTAAAAACAGATACAGATGTTGTAGATTTAGGGGTAGGTTACGAACAGATGTCAAGCACCCAAAGCCATCGCTTTGTCATGATGGCGTGCAGAGCAGCTGTCAAGTGGAGGGGGGGGGGGTCATCGGGCCCGGGGGGCATGGTCATGAACTCCGACCCTTTACGTCATCGGAACCAAGTCTGTCTAGGCGGCCGTGCACGGTCAACTTGAATTATAAAAAAACATTTTTCGACCGAATGGCGATCAGGATTTGCTGCGGCCACTGTACATACGTACGTACTAACCCGGCCGGGCGCGGGGGTAATCCCAACCACCGCAGCCCGCGGGGAGGGGCGTTTTTCGCCCCCCTGTCTAACTCCGTAAATAAGGGAGTTACGGAAATAAAAGCGATACCAAACGAAAGGTCCTTACGAGATGATTCTAAAGCACATACAATTTTTGACCTCAGGTCAATTTTCAAGGTCAGAGGTCAAGGTCAAAGGCAAAAACCGGCACATGTGTAGTGATCTCAAAGTAAGCGTTCTAGAGGACCGCAGGATGCATCAAACCAGCAAAATTGGGTTTCAAAAGAAAGAAGAGAATCTGAGGATTCCGAAACTGTGCTCAAAATCAAAGGTTAAAGTCAAGGTCACGCTCAAAATTGACCTCAAACTTTGCACTTTTTCGTACATCTTGCGTAATAACTTTCAAGATGTTTTGAAATGTTTTGAGGCTTATCAGTTCCCTATTTGTGGTTCATCTTACGATACAAGGCTGCTCATAGGTCAAGGTCACAGAAGAGTATCCTTGCTAGAGGCTATTTCACTGATTCGAGTAAGTAATAATGAATAAGACAATTTTGCCATCCGGAAGCTCTAAATGAAGGCTTAGAAGAAAATAGATGCCAGATTCGTGATCAGCGGGTACAAATCCATCATAGGCGACCTTTCATGTGTCAAGGTCAACCAAAGGTCATTCGAGGTCACATGAGGTCAACATAAAACTTGACCTTTTCCAAACAAAATATATATCATTCGACGCGGCTTGACAAGGCGAATGCGATGGTACCGCTGCCGAAGCTCTAGGACCATTTGTGTCGAAGTTATTTGCGAAAAACGAAAACCACATTTCGGGGTCGTTGACCTTACCTCTGACCTCAGGTCACCAAAGCTATTTTTCTATTTTTCTCTAGGTTAAACGCTACACAACCATGCTCGTAGTTTGTCTTTATCTCTAAAACTATATTTTTAGCAGCTATTTGAAGTTTGCGTCTGTGACGCCAAAGTTTGCCGTGCAGGGGTCTAGAAAAATCGACCCTGTGACGTCATCAAGGGGGCTAGGTCCAAATTTTTTACTTCAGAAGATGTCAAATTGATTGAAAAAAGGTACTGCAAGTTTCGCTTTCCTATCCCTAAGCGTTCGGGAGCTATCGCAAATATTCGCCAAGGGTGGGGGGGGGCGAAAAACGCCCCCCGGGCCCGCGAGGGCTAATGTCTGTTACATACCAAGCTTGCGGTCGGAGTTTCTTCAGCAGTTCGCTCTCTCCAGTATTTTGCATTGCGTCTTTGAATGTAAGAGCTGTATATGCAGAAATCGCGCACTGCTTCAGCAGGGCACTTCGGCCGCAAGCGTGATACTGATATGGAACAGAATGGCCGTTTTCACGACGGAATAGTAGGCATCTATTTAATCCCCATTTGATCCTTTAGTTCCTCAGGAATTTTAGTAGTTCTTTTTAGTAGGTTCCCCAGCTTTCGAATGAATGGTGCGTTAGTTTGCTATTTTTCTATTAAATATCACATCGATTTACTTTATCTAAGGATTTATCACTAATATCAACATAAAGCGTAAGCACAATTATAAAATTATGAAATTATGAAATACTAGTACAATAGTTAAAAAAAGATACTGAGTTGCCAGGCTACAAAGAATATATTCATTTATGGCGCACGACAGACATTTAGAAAGCAGCGCCCTGTTTTATTGCACGCTGCTAGCCGCTTCCATTGGGTTTTGCAGGCCGACGTCATTGGTCGTTACACGTATGATGTCACGCGACTTGTGGCCTGTCACGGCTCTTTAATGATCTCCACTAAATGAATGCAACAATGGCCTTTTAAGTTGATCTCTGTGGCCATCTGTCTATGGAGCGACCAATATGAAAGTTGGGTGAATTTACCGGGGTTACATGACTATGAGCAAGCAAATGTGTATCAGGAATGGATTTAGGTGGAGAATTGCGCTGGACCATGAGTGCTCGAACGCTCCCAATTCCACGCCTGTTTGGCTTTGGAGCCGAGACAGACGATGCGGGTCAAGGTCACCGCTGGGGTAACGGTGGATTGGCTGCGTCCGAGCACCCGTAACGCGGCACAATTCTCCATCTATGGATTTTCCTATTCGCTCAGCATTGTGATAGGCGTTCGTAATAGCATTTACTCTGCTCATGTACCTATCCCCGGTTATTTAAATAAGTTTTTGTGGGGGAATATCACGGCTTTAGGTACTCGGTGGCCCTATTCACGACTTTCAAAGAATGCTCCGATAACTAAACACCGCACAGACCTACTGCATTAGTGAATCTGACAGAAGGTCTGTGGAATTACATCCCCCCTCACCACACCCCTAAAAACTCATCCAGTGTCCAAAACCACTTTTATCGACTCGCCAAAAAAACAACAAAAAAAAAACACACACACATACACACACAAAGCATGGGGCATGTCAGCTCTCAGTTTATTTATCATTGTCTTTACCATGGTTCAATTGCATTGCGCGATTTAAAGCACGTGAGTGCCTATATAGTATATATGTAGAAAATAATATCTACAGCAAAACATCCAAAATTACAAAGGCTACAATGCTTAAAAAGTAGGTTCATCAAGGAAGCCCATTTTTACTTGCGTTGTGTTCCCAACCATGCGATTCCAACGCGGGCTATTCGCAACGTCTGTTAAGGCACGTTAACAACTGACAAGTCGCCACCGCTGCCACTTTTTCATAGATGGTTGATATCGCAGCTTGGGCGTCAGCAGCGCGGCCCACAACGCGTCGGCGCCAGCGCACGCAGCTGTTGGCACTCGGCAGCCGGTGTTGCGACTTAACGGCCGGCCGGCCCCATGAAGGAGAAGCTCTTGGTGAAGCTTTGTGATCGCCTCATAGCCGCCTTGGATGTCATCTTTCTTGGCAGATCCATCCGTTCAGATGGTACGGTGCAGTCTGGATAAAGGACGAAGTCCAACGCCGCTAACCCCGCGACCGCCACCCCACAACGTGGCCGCAGACCGAACGGGCGTGAGGGCCGTAAGGGCCACCCCGCCATCCGGTAGGTGGCTGAGCAGCCGGGCGCAGCGGCGCCTGGGCGGCGGCCGCGCTGAGATGAAGTCCCAAACCGCCATGTCGCCATCACCGCCATCACCATTGCTGCAGCTGTTCCCAACCGCCTCAATCGCCGCCGTTTTGCCAGCAGTGGCGCCGCGGAATGGCAGAAGCTCCAGAGTAGCCTCCAGCGCCCCTCTCCGCACGTGTGCAGGTGCACTGCGGCGGGCGGCCGCCGGGTCCGACGTCCAGGCAGAACATGATATTTCCATGCTGCTCCGACGGTGGGCTGGTCTTGTTTGGGCGTTCCTCCACTGTGACGTCGGTCACGCCTGCCCCGGCCAGGGCGCAGAGGCCGACGTGTCACCATCCGGTTGCAGTCCTCAGTCGGGTCGCAACGTGTACCTCTTCCGCAGCGTGGAGCGCGCTCCCGCTGGGCAGCGATACAGCCAAAAGTAGCATAGCATGCGGGCGGCCAGCGCTGCGCCGGACAGCGGACCCATGCCGGGGGTATGCCGGTCTCGGCCATTAGCGGGGTCGTCGGGGCCGAGGCTGTACATACAGCTGGTGACCGCGTGAGCCGCCAATCGAAGCTCACGGCTTATAAGCTCGACGCGGGCATCACACGCCGTCCCGATGGGAGCTCCACGACGCCGCCGCGAACTCCAGCGCGGCTCGCAGCGCGAAGACCAGTACGGACGGCCGGGGCAAACGGCGTGCGGGAGTCGCAGGCGACGTTCTGCGGACAGAAAGGGTTGGGCATAAGCTGGTCGGCAGGACACTCTTGAGCTGAGCCTTTGATGTAATTACAGATGATCCAGAAGCATGCACAAAAATTCATGACACACTATTCTCATTTATGTATTTGCTACATATGATATGATATACCAGCTCATGATCAGTGACGCATTCTGGGCAATATGTTCTAAAGTGAAGTAACTGAAGTTACAGCTTAAAAGCTTAAAAAAACAGCTTAAAAAAACACACACACATTCGATAGCTTATGAGAATAACATGCCTTGTGTGCTTAATGCAGGAAAATATTTCTTTTCACTTTTTTAGAAACAGCAAAAGAGTTGTCAACAAGCCATGTCAACTATCTTAACAATTTTTATGGAAACTGCTCTAGCTAGCTTAAAGTTCCACAACGTTTCCGGAGCACCGTACCCAAACTCAGTTCATGTTACAAGAAAAAACAGTAATAATGCCTCCTAATTTTGAATGAAATATAGGTATGAGTAATTTGATTTGGAAAGCAACAAATTTCCGCACATCATTTTAGCAAAATTACTATTTTCTTCAGCCATCAGGTTACACAAAACTATAGTAAACTTTATGATCTAGTTTACACAAAACCAAAGCCCCGATTTTAACAAATGTAGATGAAATTTAAACAATTTTTAAAAATGTATCGTGGAGAAAATGAAAAGTGTAGATTTGTAAAGCCGGGATATTTCAATTTCACGGATTAGGCACTTAAAGAAATATCTTCACCTTTCTTTGAGCCACCAGCCTTCACCCAAGTTTTACACGAATGTAGTGAAGCAGACAATGTGGCAGCTCAAAATTGTGATGGTTTGAGATAATTATGACGGTAAAAGAAAAAGCAACACAAGGTTCCTTACCCTCGTTTTTTTTCACATGGGTTCAGATGAGGCTTCAACTGTTGCCGACCTGAGGAGCTATAGGAACTTGAGCTTTCCAAAACTCAATTTCTAAGGGCACTGAGCAGTGTTTGGCTTTCACACGAATGCGATAGTAAGTTATATGAAGTTGACAAAGCAAGCAAAGCAAAGCATGATGCCCCGCGCGTCCGCCCGCGACCACGCCCCGCGTCCGACTCCCGACCGCCGCGTGACCCGAGGCGCCCGGCGGTCACGTGACCTACCGGCCGGGACTGCAAACGGCCCTCACCACCATTCTTGTATGACGTCATATCCTACTGAGGTGCTGATTGGTCGGAATTAGATACCTGAAGGTAATTATCTGCCGTAGTTATTTTTGTTTCATTGTTTTGCGTGTTTTCTTATATGAAATGTAATTAAAAAATTTGTCATATTTTAATCACCATTAAAACATAACTGAATAGGTATAAAAGAGAACTCGATATATACTTTCCTTGTTTTTAAGAATTCCGGAATTAGATACCCGAGGGAGCAAAGAGGGAGCAAGTTGCCACGCTGATTTAATACCTCATAGTCGAAAGGTGGGCTACTAGAACCAAAAATTGCTGTGTTTGTAAATAAATAAGTGATTTGAGGGCAAAAAATGCCCGGATTTAAACTTCTAAAATTATTTTGAACATAAAATATTTCAGTTTGAGGGATGTTAAGGCCTCTAAGGGTAGGTACTTTTTAGGTATCAAATAAGTTCCTCTGCGAAAGTTCCGTCGTGAAAACGGCCATTAGGTAGTTTTTTTTTTTCAAAAAGTATCCCCCGTGAGGCGTGCAGGCCATCTGAGCTGGATGAGACTATGATTTCAATCGTACCTCTCTTTCAGCCAGCAAAACTTGAAAGACAATGGGAAAGCCGACCCCTGGGACACAGCTATCGGCGCCGCCGCCACCGCCGCCGTTATAGAAGAACAGAGACGCATCTATGATGCGATCCAAGCTGAACAGGCTCAGCGCAAAGCTAACGAGGCGGAGGCCAGAAGACTTCAACAGGCGGAAGCTTGCAACTGGCACCGAGTTGACATATTTGAACAGGTCGAGGTACGGCAAGCACCACAGCAGCAACTCTATCCAAGAGTCCTAACGGCGCGCCCATACGTTGCAGTCGCGCATCCAGAATCAACCAGATTTGACTTTGGAATGAGAAACAACCAGCAGAACTCGGAAGAAGGGCCCAGTCACACGACTGCAGAAGAGCGCGCAAAGAAAGAGCTTGAAGCTGCTCAAGAACAACAAAGACTGCGGCTTGAAGATGAATGTAGACAAAGAAATCTAAGGACGCTACAAGAACGGCAGCGCCGCCAATTTGCTGAGGTTGAAAGAGAGCGCGAGAGATTGTTGATTGAGAATGCACGCAGAAGAAAAGAGGAAGAGGAGGAGCGCCGAAAGAAGGAAAATGCTGAAAGAGAGCGAGAGAGATTGTTGATTGAGAATGCACGCAGAAGAAAAGAGGAAGAGGAGGAGCGCCGAAAGAAGGAAAATGCTGAAAGAGAGCGAGAGAGATTGTTGATTGAGAATGCACGCAGAAGAAAAGAGGCAGAGGAGGAGCACCGAAAGAGGGAAAATGCTGAAAAAGAGCGAGAGAGACTTGAAGATCGACAACGGAGAGCTCAGCAAGAAGAAGAGCAACGTCGTGTCCTTGCAGATGCCGAAAGAACACGAGAAAGATTGCTGCTTGAAGAGCAGCAGTCAATGGTGACAACGCAAGCAGCGTATGTCCAGGAAGCGGCTCGCAAGTCTGACTCGCACGCAGATCGATCACCCCGGGATGTGCCCGGACCCCGGGATGTGCGCGGACCTCAGGATGTACCCGAACCTACCGACGTGACGATGCCGTCGGTCTGTCGTCGCCACAACTCGCGCCCCGGCGGCTGCAACGACAGCGACTGTCGACGCCTTCACGTCTGCCGTCTGTTTCTGGCCAACATCTGCAGGCATGGCGTGGGATGTCGCAACGGCCACACGCTGACCACAGTGCACAACCAGGTGAGGGAGAGCCATTACATTCGACGGCAGTGGCACTCTTGTTAAAACTGTTGTTAACCCGCGCGGGGCTGGGGTCTCCAGCCGAACGCGCGGGGCTGGGGGGGGGGTAAATTTTACCCCCCCTGTTATCTCCCGAACTAATGGTCCGATTTGGAAAATTCAAACGCCAATCGAAAGCTCTCATCACGAACTACTAAAAACATGTACTTAATTTAAAGTTTGAGGTCAAGGTCAAGGTCAGGTCAAGGGTACAAATTGCAAGTTTCTACAGTATCGGCCTTGCACCGTAGTTGCCGAAGAATGGAGTCATGGACTGAGACTGATCGCCCAAAACGTCTTCTTAGGCTACCAAGACAAGATTCGTTGCATACAATATCATTCAGAGGTCAAGGTCAAGGTCAGGTCAGGTCAGGTCAGGTCACCAAAAAACAAAATATAGAAAAGGGCATGTGCGACACATGTTTTATGGGTCATTTTACTCATAGAATTCAATAGGCACACTCAATAAGTGATATGGACCACCTCTGGATGAATTTCAGGTCGAGGTCAGGTCAAGGTCAGGTCAAGTGAGGTCAAATTTTGAAGTTGGTTGTTAAGGCCTAAAAAGGTGTCTATCTGATGCAGTTTTTCACGGCGAATCGAATGGTGCTATTTTTGTTTCCGTACGAGGTCTAGAACTTCCAAAAAAGTCGTTTTTCAAAAAAATTGTGTGTCGTGACGTCATAAAATTTTGAATAACTCCCACATTTTTGAACCGATTCTTCTAAAATTTGGTATGTAGGTGCACATAGACCACTTCTCTGACATATATTCCGGTTTTTTTGATAGACTCAAAATTTTGGATTTTATAATGATTTTCCCAAAAAAGTCAGTTTTTTGAAAAAATTTAGGCCAAAATCCAAAATTTTCAAAAAACCGAGATAGCCATTTGATAGACAAAGTAAAATTACGTATAACCTTTTTTGTTACGTCTTGATTCCTTTAAAAATGAAGATGGTAGCGGCGTTTGAACTTTTGCCGTTTTTGAGGCGAAAATGGCGAACATGACGTCACTAAAACGTCAATTTCTCAAAAATTTTCCGACGGATTTCGCTAAAATTTTCAGGGAACGTGGCAAATTGATGTAAGAAAAGGTACTGAAAGTTTGGCGGCGCTGCGCGCCGCCGTTTTTGAGATATCGCAAAAATTCGCGAGGGGGGGTAAAATTTACCCCCCCCCCAGCCCCGCGCGGGTTAAAGTGTTAACCCTCGCCCGCACATGCCATTTTCCCATCCTAGAACGCACATGGGGGGGGGGGGGTTGCCACCCCCCCGCGCCATTTCGTTCCTGTTGGAGATAGAGCTTAGCGGTAAAGACCAAAAAGATTCTTTGGGAAGAGACGAATCCAATGATACCCAGTTTTACCTTCTCAGGTCAGTCGTTGACCTTCCAGGTCAGGTCAAACTAAAAAATGTTGCTGTTTTTGGTCACCGTTGGATATCAAGTGCGCTGCTTATCATATACCGATGACGATGCCGTTTTCTGGTGCCAAGCCAGCTAGAACCTCTTTGTCACACTACCCGACCAGGTTTTTGCTGCTGAGGTCATTTCAGGTCAAGTTAGGTCAAGGTCAATTATATGTGTTTGTATGTCTGTGTGTGTCTGTGTGTATACTGATGTTTGCACCGATTGTTTATGTGTCCATATTACATGAAATCATGATCTGAGAAGCTTTTACCAAAAATGCAGTCAAAAAACTTAACAAAAAGTAAATTTCGCTTGCCTAAAACGCAATTATCTTAGATGACCTAGGTTGACCTTGACCTTGACCTTGACATCTGTACATCGTCGAACAACATGTTTCATGATAGGTGGGAGGTAAGACGTGCAAAAAAGGCCCAAATCAAGGTGTCAAAAGCTCACAAGGCCCATAGCCAACGCAAGATGTTGAGAATTGGCCATTTAGGTCATGACATGACCTTAACCCTCGCTGAGTGCAGAGCAGAAAGACTACCTGGGGGGGTGGCAACCACCACCACCCCCCCCCCCCCCCCATGTGCGGGCGAGGGTTAAGACATTGAATGGCAAGCTACTTCACTGCATTTCTTTTCCCATGAAAAGATCGCTATTGAACATCAAGTTACTGTTGAATAGATATTTACGCATATTTTTCTTTGCATGCGCATATACTTTACAAGTTGCGTATTGCTCGTATACCTGACGTGCAGCGTTCCTTTTCTGTCACATTCAGTTGTCGCGGAAGTAGTTCTGACAGTCTCATCGACAAATCCTAGTAATGGTAGCATCCTGGAGTTGTTCATTGACCTGGAGTAATTGCCGTGTGACTAATTTCAGACGGTTCTTGGCCTTCACAATCTGGAGAATGCCGAAGAGGTGGTAAACTTTCAGCGACTGCGGCGTGCTCTTCAACATTCTGATGAGCTGGATGAGAGCGTGTACATAAAGAACCTGGAGGTGTGCTACAGACACAGCTGGGGGCACTGCGAACAGCTCGACTGCAACAGAGTACACATCTGCAGGTATGAGCAATGGCCATCTGTCTAAACACAACCGTTTAATTTCGGGAAATGGCTTATGGAGTCGATACAAAATAACTAGCCTCAGTGCACGTATAATACATATTTTAACACGTCCTTTTATATAAATTGAAGTATATATGTTTCCATAGATTATTACAATTTATTTCATAATTACAAAATTATAATAAAATAAATGAAAATGATGCCTGATAATGTGAAAAATAGGCATATAAACAACTAGTGTAAACCAAGCTGATAGCTACTAAGAAACACAATGAACTTAATTTGACCAAATATGCAACAAATGTGAACCAAATGTGTACCAGACAGGCGTCGTGAAAACGGCTTTTGTATCTATCCAAACTCTGTGCCAATATAATGTAAAAAACACTCACTTTGCTTACACCTGCAGGCAGTTTGTAATCGGCACGTGTGAGAGGCGGTACTGCAAGGCCGGTCACAAGCTGCACACTTCTCACAACAAAGGAGTGCTCACCAGACACCGTCTCACCCACCTGAGCGACCAGGAGCTCCTGAGGATCCTCCGTGAGAGGGAGACAACACAGAGGACACGGATGGTACGTACACGGATGGTCTGCAAAATAAGTCCCCGTCGTGTGCGGGTCACCAGTGGGCAGTTAGCGCCTGAGCGCTACTCGGGCGCCACCTGCCTGCATGCGAAGAGGACTTATTTTGTACACCTACTGTACCGGGCGCGAGGAGACGGCTCAGGAGATTATTTGGTGACAGGGGAGGGGACACAGTCTTTGTAATTGTATTGGCATGGTGTAAGGCTGAATATTAGAAGACGACATTGTAGTTTTGTGTGTTGGATAGGTGAATACATAGAGAAAACGTATTAGGTACACCAAGCTTTTTAAGTACTTAATTCAATGGCCGAAAAGGACACTGATTTTGAATAAATACCTGCCATGAAATTAGGCAGCTATTGATATGAGTTGTAAAGTATTCTTGATTGGTATGTCCCTCGCACCGATGGAGTCTGTGCCAACTTCGCACCGACAGGGAGGGACGGATACCTGTCCCCGTGAGATCTCGAGAAAAAGGACAGGGTGGATATCCGCCCCCCCCCCCTCGCGCGGTGCGCGGGATATACTATAACGTAAAACGTAAATATAGTTATAGAGAACGTTAAACAAAATTGCATTGGCTTATCGCTATTCTTACTGCTGATATAAGTACGCTATTCCATTCCACTTCATGTTTTGAAGCACCTGTCGCTTTTGAGCATATCATCGCCGTCAATTTCTGATCAAACATCCCTCCTCTCCGACTTTTATCTCAGTTCTTCAGTGCCGGGGCAGCCAGCACGGCTCAAAACGGCGCCATCCCCCGCTGGAAATCCACTGGCGACCTCAGCAAGCCGAAAAAGCTCCGAGAGAAAAACAAATCGATCGACGACCTCAGCAAATCCGAGGAGGTCGCAGAATCAAAGCGCGAAGACACCGCAGGTGTTACACCTCTGTCTAGTGGTTTGTCTGAAGAGCTGCGGTGTCCCATCTGTCTGGAGTTGTTCAACAGGCCCATTGGTCTCGGATGTGGCCACACGTTCTGTGAGAGGTGTCTGCGCCAGGCGCGGAGGAGCAGCGGGAACAAGTGTCCCATGTGTAGAGCGACCATCGAGTCGGCCATTCGCTCTGTGACGCTCGATAATATCATCAGGAGCGTGACGGGCGCCGCACAGTGAAGGTTTAGGTGGGGAACTTCGTCAGAAACATTTGATAAATCTGAGGAGGATTATCAACGTTAAATTATCCCGCAGAGTTTGTAATTGACGCAATTTTGGATGAGGTATGGTGGTCCCTCATGAGCGTGTGATTCTGCGCATGGTTAGATCCGTCAATGAACAAAAGGATGACAAGACTTCACTTCTCAGCTAGTATTTGATGGATGGTGGACAGAAAGTATGAATGTACTTATGTAGCATTACCGTCATGAGTGGTGGGGCGCTCAGTGAAACATTGTCGAAATTGTTATAAGGAGACTCGACTAAATTGAGAGGATGCCAAAATACAGTGGGCCATACGTGCAGTATGGTAGCTGTGTATTGTGTAAGTGTATTTGTGCGACAAATGATGTATATCTATACCTATGCTAAGCATATTCAAATGAATTCGTGAGCTGAGACTGCATCATCAAATATTCAAGGCATAGCGATACTTTTATTCAATGTGCAATAAACGAATTAAAAAGTGAATAACCTTCACCTGTCATAATAGACTGTTCTTTGACCTTATCTGTCTAAGAAGACTGGTAGGTAGGTATATGACCTCACATGTCTCAAAAACTGGTCTTTGACCTCGCCTGTCTCAAAAGACTGTACTGTGAGCTCACCTGTCTCAAAAGATTGATCGTCAACACGCCCTATCAGCGTATGTCGGCTCGCATTAGCCGCGCTTTTGCAGTCTTTTCCTGGTTTCAAGCGTTCAAACATGGGACATGATGTTGCTCCCATGCATTAGGCGCGGGTGTCAAAGTCATCTGAAGATCAGGTCAGGTCATTGACCTTTGATGACCTCGGTTCACTAGTTCGAGTTATACATCTTTTAGGCTAGGTTTTTAAGCTGAATTCGAATTTAGCAACGATTTAAACATTTACGAAGTAGTTATGGTGCCTTCGTAACATGCTACGAGGCTGTCAGAGGCGGTTGACACCTAACGAATACCCGGCAGGACCCCTACCGGTTGACCTGACCTGACCTGACTAGATCTGTCCTTAATGCATGAATACATCAGCTGTGATCAAAACTAACATGATATTCGTGAACAGCAATCCGAAAAAAAAAATAGCAGCCCCACTTTAACCCTATTCCTGGCGGGGGGGCCTCAGGAGCCCCCCTGAGGTTTTTTGGTTATTTCTCCCAAACGCGTTGAGCTAAGAAGCTCAAATTTTCTGACTTTTCCTAAAAGGCTTCTACGCAACATGTCTGAAAATTTTGAGTTGATCTGACCTCAGGTCAGGTCACCAGAGGCGGTTTGGTGACCCTACCTCAGAAAAGTTTGCAATCACGCCAGAGCTAGAGTTTTTGACCGATCAATTTTTTCTCTTCAGGGTTTAGTTAGGATACCAGTATGTGCAATTTGTATATCTCGGAATTTTGATATCGGTGACCTAAGGTCAGGTCAATTTCGCGACCTCCCCATTATAAGTCAATGGGGGAAAAATCAACTCCCTGTTTTTACCACTAAAACGGGTCGGAATGGCCCCATATACCATACATGACTTCATATACGATCAACCTTCACTACCTTGAGGTCTGTTTTGCTGTTGGGCAGCTGTGAGGTCATGTGACGTCATCAAAGGTCACCAAAGGTTTTTGGCCAATAACTCCGTACAGGAACAAGATACAGACGCGTGGATGGTCTCATTGTGTTCAGCTCGTCAAGACGCATCGAATGATATACATGATGACCTCGAGGTCACGTGACCTGAGGTCAACCTTTGACCTTGACCTTTCGAGGTCAACATATATATCATTCGATGCGGATTGACGAGATGATCACGATGATGCCCTTAGTTTGTTCCTATCTTGACTAATTCGAAAGTTATTCGAGAAAAACTCTCCATATCTAGCGCCGCCATTTTGACTTTTTCGACCCCTGTGACGTCATCTTTGACCTGACCTGAAAATGACCTTAGTAAAAATTGTAGATCTTGGCCGTGCGTATCCGATGCCGTTTACCGCTTGTCGCTATCTTGCTTCGTTCTCGAGATCTCAGGGGGGCCGAATCGGCCCCCCCCCCCGCCAGTTTCTTGTCCCGGCGGAGCCCGCCAGGAATAGGGTTAAGACGTTCTAACAGGTTCCCATTTTCCCAACTTTTAGGTCATTGATCTAACCTAGACGGTCAACAAATGACCTAAGGCCTTGAAATTGGATATCATCGACTTGCTCTCGATACGAGCAACACGCTCGCTCCTCTTTCCGCGAAGCTCTAGCTTGATCAGGGGCGAAACGGCAAAGGGGGTCCAACGGATCCCCTCCCCCTTATACGTTGGTGGCTGGAAAAACGCAAATACGGACGAGAGCGTAGTGTCAATTTTGGAGCCAGAGAACCATTTTTAGTGGATCAAACCGGCGCTGGGATTAAATTCGCGCTAAACTGGTGTATGGCCACACTGTGCAGTGTCTCCGCCAAATTCCGATCAGCCTTGCGGCTGTGAATTTCTCTTGTTAGTAGTTACATGAGTTACCCCTGCAACAGCCTTGCAGTGCCATATGCTGAACTACTGAGTCATGCTCTCTTCTCACGGGAAGCTGATGTTTCCAGTTGCCACATGGTGACTGCTCTGAAGGTCCATTTCCTTGCGAGATTTCTACCACCATTTTCCGCTTTCCTGCGACCATCTGTTCGGAATTCGAACAGGGGGTGGGGCCGATACTCACTACCTCGTCCAGCTGGGTGCGATCGGTGGAAAATCCTATCGGGACGCGGGCTGATATTAGCCGTTTTCACGACGGCCATCTGGTACACATTTGGTGCTCGTCTGGTACAGATTAGGTGCAGATTTGGTCAAATCAGGTTCAGTGTGTCTCTTAGCAGGTATTAGCTAGGGTTGCACTAATTGCTTATATGCCTGCTTTATCATATTATCAGAGAGCATCATCGATTAAAACACTGAAATAAATTCATAAAATGAGGATATTTGCTGTAAAATAAATTAGGTGCAGATTTGGTCAAATCAGGTGCATTCGTCGGAAATCCCGTCGTGAAAATCATGCTATTGGGTTTGCTTTGAATAACCGAGTCGCGAGTAAATACGCTAGAAAATTAGCTGTGTGAGTAGGGTGTTTTCAAGAAGTGAGCGCGATGTTTGTCCTGAAAAAGTAGTTACTGTATGCCTGGCCTATTCAAATACATTAGCCAGAGGGGTGTGGTAATAACTGGTGTAAGCAAATTGACCACGGTCAAAAATGCATTACCAGAATGCACTAAAGCCAACATTTTGGGATGGTCTCGTTCCTAAGTCGGCTAAGAGCTTCGGTCCAGAAAATAAATTTATCGTTGGCATACAGTAAAATACATACCAAACTCGGCCGGTGATAAATTTTCAAGACCTCAGTCCTTACTGATTTTTGAACTCGGCCTTCGGCCTCGTTCAAAAATTCAGTAAGGACCTCGGTCTTGAAAATTTATTTACACCGGCCTCGTTCAGTATTATATATTACCGTATTTGATGAATAACAAAGGAAGTCAATGTTTAAGTCAGGTCCAATAATAATTAGGAAAGACTGATTGTCAGGCAGAGAAAAACAGAAGACGATAATTCAAAGAAAAACTAAAACGAGTGTGGATTTGCTATGTGTGTGGGGGAGGGGGAGGAGGGGAAGTGTGTGTCTGAACAACAAGGCAGAGCAATTTGGAGCTAGCTGGACAGACTCGGAGCCATGGCCCGGCCGGGAGCGGTACTGCTGCTGCTCCTGGTGACGTCAGCGGCCGCGGTCCGGTACCGCTGGCTGGACCCGGTGTCCCTCCACGGTCCGGCTGTACAGATAGTCTCTGCTGAATCGGAGATCGAATGTGGTATCCACTGCGAGGGAGCTACTCCTGAAGAGTGCAGCGGCTTCATCTACGGACCCGATGACGGCGCGTGCCGGCTGTTCTCTGGCTACTGCCGCGGTCCGGCCATCAACAGCTCCCAACAGACCACCGAACGCTTTTGGGCCCGTCCCATATGCACAGGTAACCTGCAGTATAAAACTCAATTTTACTAACTATTTAAGCATTACATTATTTCAGTAACTATTTTTATCATTGTTGTGTAATGAATGCATTTCCAGATGAATGCGCTAGAAGATATGTGAGCATATAGCGAAGATACTTTTTATTCAATAGCTGGATAGCTGGACAGGACCAACTTGGTGGAGTGAACGTCACCGCCAACTTGTATTGCAGTCGAGCTGTTTTTTTTTTTTCGCCAACTTTTATTGCACCCGCTGACTGTTCCTGGATATCCGCGCCCTGCTGGAGGAGGGGGTGTTTAACCCGCGCCCGGCTGGGGGTCCTGGATTTCCACGCCCTGCTGGGGGGGGGGGGTGTTTGAACACCCCCCCTTCTAACTCGGCTCCTGGGCCACGTAGCGACACGCGGAAGGCGGCGTTCGAAAGAGCGTCAAAAATAATGAGGAAATCACTTCGGTCAATTTTTTGGTCAGGTCAAAGGTCAGGTCACCAGAGGTCATTGAAGGCAAAATTTCGCCGATTTCAAGGTCGAATGTCGACAATTTCCAAGAAGCCAACGCATAACTCGGGAACCAATAGAGCTACAGCGCCGCAGAAAAGCGCATTCGATAGCCCTATTAACGCCCTTTCTGAGTAATTTTCTCAGATTTGACCTAACGTCAACGGTTTTGCCTGCAGGGGGCAAAAACTGCAAAAATAGCCGATTTTTTCGGAAACAGTTTTTCTGCAATAACTTTTGACTCAAGCCTTGTACGAGCTTACTTTTACCGGCATCGTGTTCCTCTTGTCAAGACGCATCGAATGAACTATAACTTGACCTTGAAAGGTCAACTTGAAAATTTGACCTCAGGTCAAGGTCATGACCTGACCGGAAAGGGTCATGTTGCATATCAGTCGATCGGTATCGTCGAGCTGAACACATCTAAGGCGTTTTCATCGTTCTAGCATGCCTCCATCAAAAGTTATTTGCGAAAAACTGTTAGATACTATTCGTGACCTAAGATGACCTCAGGGCATAATCAGGGGTCACGGACACCATTTTCATGTTCAGTGTGTCTAAACCACTTGTAATTCAGTGTTTGGGAGTGTTTATAATGTCTTTCGTCCAAAAGAGGCGCATTTCAATTTTCTCCCATTGACTTATAATGGGGAGGTCGCAAAATTGACCTGACCTTAGGTCATCGATATCAAAATTCTGAGATATACATTTTGTACATGCTATTGCTCTTAGCAATCGCTGAAAGTTTCAAAGCGATCGGTCACTCGGTGTAGCTATGACTGACATTGAAACTTTTTATGAGGTGAGGTCACTTCAAGTGACCTGGTGACCTGACCTTGAGTGACCTTGGTCTGAAATTTTCACAACATGTGTAGAATTGATGTATGATAAGGTGTACCAAAAACGGCGGCGCTCCGCGCCGCCGTTTTTGAGATATTCGCGAAAAACCACAAGGGGGGGGTGTTCAAACACCCCCCCAGCAGGGCGCGGGTTAAATAGCCCCCACCCTTCTAACTCGGCTCCACGGCCATGTAGCGATACGCGGTAGGCGGTGTTCGAAAGAGCGTAAAAAATAATGACGAGACTACTTCGGACACTTTTTTTGGTCAGGTCAAAGGTAAGGTCAGCAGAGGTCATTGAAGACCAACTTTCGCCGATTTCCAGGTCGAATGTCGACAATTTTCAGCAAACCTGCGCATAACTCAGAAACCAACTGAGCTATGCATTTGACCTAATGTCAACGGTTTCGCCTTCAGGGGGCAAAAGCCACAAAATAGACGATTTTCGCGGAAACATTTTTTGCAATAAATTTTGACGTAAACCTTACACGAGGTTACTGTTATACCTACAAAGTGTTCCTCTCATCAAGACGCATCGAATGAACTATAATTTGACCTTGAAAGATCAGCTTGAAAATTTGATCTCAGGTGAAGGTCAGCTTGGCCAACGCAACGTGACTCATAATGGAGAGATCGTAAAATTGACCCGACCTTAACCCTCGCCCGCACATGGGGGGGGGGGTGGTTGCCACCCCCCCCCCCCCAGGTAGTCTTTCTGCTCTGCACTCAACATTTTTTAGAGCTAGAAGGCTGATTTTTGGTATAGCTGCTCCTCCATCCTTTCTTGATGTCCACTGAAAATTTCAAGTTTCTGTGATTTTTGGTTTCGGAGATATGACCTTGTTTTTCAGGTCATGTCATGACCCAAATGGCCAATTCTCAACATCTTGCGTTGGCTATGGGCCTTGTGAGCTTTTGACACCTTGATTTCGGCCTTTTTTGCCAGTCTGACCTCCCACCTATCATGGAACATGTTGTTTGACGATGTACAGATGTCAAGGTCAGGGTCAAGGTCAACCTAGGTCATCTAAGATAATTGCGTTTTAGGCAAGCGGAATTTACTTTTTGTGAAGTTTTTTTACTGCATTTTTGGTAAAAGCTTCTCAGATCATGATTTCATGTATGATGTAATATGGACAAATAAACAATCGGCGCACACATCAGTATACACACAGACACACACAGACATAAAAACTAGAGGCGTCAATCGGATACCAACTTTTTGGTATACCGATACCGAACCGATACCAACTTGGTATTTGGTATTTCAATCGTAATGTGTTTGGTATTTTGTTGGTATCATAAGCCCTCACTAATGTATAAGAGGCTAAGAAATCGGTAAAAAGTTGGTATTTCCCTCAGTTTCCCAAGTTGGTTTGGTTTCGGTATTTTCCCGTGGTTTTGGTTGGTATTTGGTTTGGTATCGGTATTCCGATTTTCCGTAATTGACATCACTAATAAAAACGCATATAATTGACCTTGACCTAACTTGACCTGAAATGACCTCAGCAGCAAAAACCTGGTCGGGTACTGTGACAAAGAGGTGGTTCTAGCTGGCTTGGCACCAGAAAACGGCATCGTCATCGGTATATGATAAGCAGCGCACTTGATATCCAACGGTGACCCAAAACAGCAACATTTTTTAGTTTGACCTGACCTGGAAGGTCAATGACTGACCTGAGAAGGTAAAACCGGGTATCATTGGATTCGTCTCTTCCCAAAGAATCTTTTTGGTCTTTACCGCTAAGCTCTATCTCCAACAGGGACGAAATGGCGCGGGGGGTGGCAACCCCCCCCCCCCCATGTGCGTTCTAGGATGGGAAAATGGCATGTGCGGGCGAGGGTTAATCAAAAGTCCGAGATATGCATTTTTTATATGTTACTTTTATCAATCGCTGAAAGTCGTAAGGTGATCGTTCGGTTGTTGCAGCTATGACGAGGATTTTAACTTCTTCTAAGGTGAGGTCACTTGACGTGACCTGGTGACCCGACCTTGAGAGCCCTGGGTCTGAAATTTTAACAACATATGCGGAAAAGATGCATTAACAGGTGTGCCAAATCTGCGAAAAACCGCAGGGAGGGTGTTCAAACACGGCCACGTCCCAGCGTGGGTTAAAAGTGATATCTCCTTTAAAAATAAGAGGCCAAAGTGGCCTCTTATTTTCCGCACCAAAAACGAGTATCCAATCTAGGTAGTTGACGAAAACGTCAACCATCTTTGCGCGTTTTTCAGTCAACACATCCGAGCCCTGCGCCTGTCCGGCCGGCTTCAGCCGCTGTGCCGGCCGCTGTCTGAAGAAATTGGACCACAAAGTCAACTACACCGAGGCGGAGAACCAGTGCGCCGCGCTGGGCGCCCACCTGGCCGTGCCCCGCTCCAACGAGGAGAACCAGTGCGCCAAGTCCATCGCAGGAAACTCTTCAGTCTGGCTGGGGTTAAACGACGTGGCTACAGAAAACCAGTTCGTTGGCGACGACGGCTGCGGCACCGTGCCTTCCGACAGCCCCTTCTGGGCCAGAAGACAGCCTAATAACCAGAACGGCCAAAGCCACGTTGCCTTAGTACGACCAGATATACCAGCCCTTCAACTGGGATGGCATGACTTCTTACCAAGTCATCCGGTGTCCCCTCTCTGTCAGCTTGCCAACTGCTTTGATGGCAGTTGCCCCTGAATAACTACCGAAATCATTTCACTTGATCTTTAGCGAGGAAATTCACAATTCACAAGTGAATTACGCTACTGTAAATCAGAAATGCAAACCGCCCACAGACGACGGTAGTTCTGATTATTGAGTTCCAGGCACTTTTACATGCACAGCAGCATAGCACCGGAGTGCACTGCGAGTGACATTGTCATCCGTATTCCAGTCCGCATTCATCCAATGCGTTTGCACAGTGACAAAATACGCTGATGTAGGTAGGTGATGCATATGGCTCGCGCGGTGACACAAGCTTGTTGCGACGAGTCATAGAATGCACAGTCCGCCCATGGCTCTGCAGCCATGTTGTTTATTTCGAAAGAGCTGCTGTTCGCCAATTGCATAGTCGATGGCTCTGTCACGATCTGTTACTTACTTACTTGTATGTTCGGCTTTCTTTCGATTTTCCGTGGTGCCTGCGGTAGGTACTGTTGTGGGCGAATTTTGCAGGCGGGTGCTTTTTCTTTTCTTTGTGCGTGGCGTTGACACTGACGTTTGATGGTGGTTTCCTGCAGGCGCTTTTTTCTTTTTTCCGAGGTGTTTGTCGTGGCCTACGGTATCATTTTTTCGTGTCTTTTCCTTCCTTCCTTTCTTTCGTCAAAAATGCGCCTCCAAGGAGGCGCGTCAGCGCCATCGGTCCCTAGTTGTCCGGTATCTTGAAACCATGTGCTCTGTACAAATCCCTGTCACGATTTTCTATTGACTGAAAATGTCCGCGGTGGTGTCTGCTGTGGTAAAATGTCTGCGATGAATACACATTGCTTTACAATACCTTTGTTTCAATAGTTTGTTTGAATAATAAGGTCATGCCCTAGTTTCGTATCACATCAAGCCAATTAATATCACAAGCGCACGCATTTAGCTCGTAACATACCATGATTGATGACACTTCAAATAACACTGCATGGATCGACAGAATTGCGTGCATTAACAGTATGTGTAGTGACCCCTATTCCAGTACGTATAGCAGCTCGGAACCGATTGAAATCATTGGCAGCCATGGCCCGGCCGGGAGCGGTACTGCTGCTGCTCCTGGTGACGTCAGCGGCCGCGGTCCGGTACCGCTGGCTGGACCCGGTGTCCCTTCCCACTCCGGCTGTACAGATACTCTCTGCTGAATCGGAGATCGACTGCGGTCTCTTTTGCGAGGGAGCTACTCCTGAAGAGTGTACCGGCTTCATCTACGGGCCCGATGACGGCGCGTGCCGGCTGTTCTCTGGCGACTGCCGCGGTCCGGCCGTCGTCAGCTCTCAGCTGAACACCGAACGCTACATGGCTCGCTACACATGCCCTGGTAAGCTGCAGTATTGAATTCATAACTGAGAGCATGAGATGAAGCATGAGAAGCCAAACACTGTGGCCCAGCTCGGCCCAGACTGTATAGGTAACGCTTTGGAGAGGCATACATCTCATCTTAGCAACTGCAGGGCCGATTAGCCCTGGATTAGCCTGCGGTCGTTTTTGTTGGGTAGCTGCAACTCTTCCCCCCCCCCCGCAATTGACTACTCTTGATGCAACTAGGTGACCGTTGTGGCAGGTACCACGTGAAAAGTCAAGAGTGTTCAAGTTGTTCTCCTTAAGTGGCGCTTTCGAGAGGCCTCTATCTCAGCAAAATATATGCATTCGGGCGCAGCCGATCAATCATAATACATTACCTTTCCAGGTTATCTTCGACACACAAATTCAATAAAAAATGTGATGTAGTGAGTAGGATCAAATAAAGTATTCACGTAAGAATTGAAATAATAGGTAAATAAATGAAAATGAATAAATCGTACCTAATTGTTAATGAACAGCCAACGTTTTCTGGAACTCTTGACGTTCATCAAGGGCTGCGATGTCGGGGCTCCAATGGGCCTTAGCTCGTGACGAAACAAGGCAGTGCCAAGCTCGTTGCTCTCACGGGCGGATCCAGGAGGGGCACTTCTGAAGCCATTCCCCCCCCCCCCTTCGCAGCGCTACAAGTCGATGAAAATGTGCGTTTTTTCAGAATAAAACGAAAAATAAACAACGTTTATCAAAGAAAGTTTGATATATAAGAACTAAGAAGTGTGATCTATATGTCATGATGCTATTCATTCTTGTACTTCGTCATTCACTGACAGTAAGTGATCTTTTGGCACGTTTTTCAGGCAGCGTATCCGATCCCTGCGCCTGTCCGGCCGGCTTCAGCCGCTGCGCCGGCCGCTGTCTGAAGCGACTGGACCTGGCAGTCACCTACGGCGAAGCGGAGAGTCAGTGCGCCGCGCTGGGTGCCCACCTGGCCGTGCCCCGTTCTGACGAGGAGAACCAGTGCGCCATAGACGCCGCAGGAACATCTTACGCCTGGCTGGGGTTTAATGACGCTGTCACTGAAAACCAATTCGTGGCTGACGACGGCTGTGACAACGTGCCTGGTGACAGCCCGTTTTGGGCGGAAGGCCAACCTAACAACTACCTCAATCAAAGTCACGGAGCTCTGGTGCCTGTGCCGACCTCCGGCACGCCTGAAGCGGGCTGGCACGACGTAGCGCCTTCTAGTCTCTACAGACCTCTCTGTCAGCTGGCCTACTGCTATAATAGCAACTGCCCCTGAAGGAATTGTCACTCTTCACCTGAGCCCGCGACCGCCTGAGGAGGGAGGGGCAGAACCGACCCCCTCGTTTCTTTCTCGCAAAACTTATTAACCGTTTGAGGTTGCAACGTGCAACTTGGTATACCTTCTCCAAAGTTCTAAGTCAATTTGACGTGTGGTGTGTTGTGAAAGTTTTGTGCAATAAAAGGTACTTGAGACATACACTTTTTACTGGCCCAACTAAACGACACTTTTCTATACAAAATGGTGAATGTTTGAGAAAAAACACTGAAAATTGAGGTTAAAAGCAGCATTCAAACTTAACCTTCCAGGCGGTGGGGGGAAGTTTCAAAATTTTTTCCAAAGGCTATGATAGGTTGGCCGCTAATGACGTCAGAGTGACGTCATTTCTGCCATTTTCGACACAAAAAAAGGTTTCGCGGGAAGAGCTGTCAGGCCTACAGCTTTAGAGATACAGAAAAAATGTTTCAGATAATAAAGGGTGTGGAATCAAGAGGGCTACAAAACTGCTATTTCGCTTTTTCAACGTTTTTGGATTTTGAACCCAAAAATTAAAAAATAGATTTTTGAATAATAGCCAAAAATCCAAAAAGTTTTTTGAATTTCGAAAAAACGGAATATATGTGATAGTCCCTACCGCCTTCTATCTAACATACAAAATTTGAGATCGATACCTCTTTTTTGGCCAATTTATAGCGAAAAAAAAACTGTTCAAAATTGATGACGTCAAATTTTTAAACTCAATTTTTAGCAATTATAGACCTCGTAGCGCAAAACAAAGACCACCATTAGACTCCCCGTGACGAGCTGCATCGAATCAATACCCATTTTATGCAAAATATCAACTTTGAAATTTCACCTTTTTTGACCTGACCTTTTTTTATAAATTTAGTCCGAACCTTATGATGGGAAGGATTCACAAGGACAGAGCCACCGCTAAGCGAAGCTTGTTGCGGTGACCCTGCCCTCTACCCTCCGATCGCGCAATCCCAGTTCTATGGCAGAATTTAGAGTCCAAAGTTTAACCCTCGCCCGCACATGCCATTTTCCCATCCTAGAACGCACATGGGGGGGGGGGTTGCCAACCCCCCCCCCCCCCGCGCCATTTCGTTCCTGTTGGAGATAGAGCTTAGCAGTAAAGACCAAAAAGATTCTTTGGGAAGAGACGAATCCAATGATACCCAGTTTTACCTTCTCAGGTCAGTCATTGACCTTCCAGGTCAGGTCAAACTAAAAAATGTTGCTGTTTTGGGTCACCGTTGGATATCAAGTGTGCTGCTTATCAAATACCGATGACGATGCTGTTTTCTGGTGCCAAGCCAGCTAGAACCTCTTTGTCACACTACCCGACCAGAATTTTGCTGCTGAGGTCATTTCAGGTCAAGTTAGGTCAAGGTCAATGATATGTGTTTGTATGTCTGTGTGTGTCTGTGTGTACCTATACTGATGTGTGCACCGATTGTTTTTGGGTCCATATTACATGAAATCATGATCTGAGAAGCTTTTACCAAAAATGCAGTCAAAAAACTTCAAAAAAAGTAAATTCAGCTTGCCTAAAACGCAATTATCTTAGGTGACCTAGGTTGACCTTGACCCTGACCTTGACCCCTGTACATCGTCAAACAACATGTTCCATGATAGGTAGGAGGTAAGACTGGCAAAAAGGCCGAAATCAGGGTGTCAAAAGCTCATAAGGCCCATGGCAAACGCAAGATGTTGAGAATTGGCCATTTGGGTCATGACATGACCTGAAAAACAAGGTCATATCTCCGAAACCAAAATTCACAGAAACTTGAAATTTTCAGCGGACATCAAGAAAGGATAGAGGAGCAGCTATACGAAAAATCAGCCTTCTAACTCTAATAATGTTGAGTGCAGAGCAGAAAGACTACCTGGGGGGGGGGTGGCAACCACCCCCCTCGCCCCATGTGCGGGTGAGGGTTATTAACGTGCGCACATAGCCGCGCACGGCCGGTCCCCTCACTGACTTCGCCTGGCTACGGGCTGCCACCAACCGCAACCATACCTGTCAGGAGGCCCCGCTTCGAACCCGGACTGTTGTAACCGGGAACGCGTGCTCTCACCACGCGGTGTCCAACGCTCTACCAACTGAGCTACGGGACCTTGGCCTGACCTCCACCAGAAAGTGACCTAAACCGTACCTGATGGTCTTATAACCAACACCATTGAGTTGGAAATGAAAAACTGGCCATAAGACATGCATCGCACAACCTTAGTAATAAGTAATGTTGGGTTCATGTGGTGACCCTTGGTGACCTTTGGTGACCTGACCTGTGACCTGACCTGGTATGACCAGCGAGCTCTAATAGCAACATATCTACTAGACAACTGACGCCTTATCGCTGATTTTCGGCAAAATGCGTTTTACTCGGTGTTATAGCGCTTTCCCTGCAAGCCCCGTGAACGGTGAAACATTTTATCTTTGACCTGACCTGTGACGTCATGGGTGACCCCGAGGTCAATGAAATTTGGTTTCTTAAGACAAATTTTACAGAGCTATCGAACGCCGTTTGAATTTTCCGGATCCGTCCAGTATTTTCGGAGATACGGGGGGGGGGGCAAAAAAATGCCCCCCCCCCCCGCGCGGAAGGTGGCCGGGAGGCCCACCGCCTGCCGGGTTAAACAATCACCGGTCAAAGCCAACCGTTGAGATTGGTAAAACCCCACATTACTTTAGCGGTGGGCTGTACATACCTACAAGCCGCATATTACCGCAAATACCAGATCAGTCGTGTAGTGTCATAATGATCTTAGCTGAGATGCCTCTGCCTGAGACAGTTCCCGGCTGAATTTTTGAAAATCAATATGTCAGATAGTGCATGCATCCTCGAACATGAAATATTTTGACATCGCAATTCACAACGAACATATAAGTCAAGTCGCATTATGAGTCGCACAGACGTAAAGCGTGTGGGCTATCCGAGCGATCACCATACCCTTCCATCTTGTGCATGACATCAGACACAATCTCGTGAACTCACCTTATGTCTCCAAAAATCCTCAGGTCAGGTCAGGTACTCTCAGGCGTCGATCACTTGGAAGGTACCGCGCTCCGTCTCCAAGGTCTCCAAGCTCTTCCAGGTCGAGCCTCGAGGTCGACCAATCGCAACGGCGCGGCGGTGGTGTCTAGCGGACTAGCGGTGTCTAGCGGCCCCTACGAGTTAGTTCACTAAACCGCCGCCAGAGGCACAACCAGCAGTATCCACACGGCCCGAATGATGGCGACATCTATATACAGGGTGAGGAATTTATCTCGAGATGTAGGTAGAGGCGCTGGGGTCCGTGGTTGCTGAAAGTGGAGCCTTGTAGTTTCTGAGAGTTCCACCTTGGACGCCAAAAGAATTCATTCAAAAGCGCAGATGTGGTGATGGAGATGCGTTTATTAACTTATTTAGATGAGGTGAGACATAAATAACACATGCAAACACATGAGAGAGAGAGATCACATCACGCTATTCAGCACATACCCACGTGAAACTAGCAAGTTTTGAAGGGCAAAAACTACGAGCAGTCGCACTTCACCCACCTTGGGTCACTCACTTATTTCGGTCACATCGACATCCACGTCACAATCATGAAATACTGCACTGTAGTTCTGGCAGTTCAGGCTCGCTGGCTAGGTCTGGCTGGACTAGCGTACAGCCACACTTACATCATATGTGTACTGTCGGTGTAGCTAACCTCACACCATATACTGTCGTTCATACAGTCTCCCAACCCCGCCCACTCTCTCACACCATATACTGTCGAGCTCTGTCGGCTGGAACCCCCCCCCCCCCTCACACCATATACTGTCGGGCTCCGTCGGCTGGAACCCCCACCCCTCACACCATATACTGTCGGGCTCTGTCAACTGGAACCCCCACCCCTCACACCATATACTGTCGGGCTCTGTCGGCTGGAACCCCCGCCCCTCACACCATATACTGTCGGGCTCTGTCGACTGGAATCCCCTCCCTCCCCCTCACACCATATACTGTCGGGCCCTGTCGGCTGGAATAGCGACCGGCCCCAGTCTTGTAAAAACAAACCCCGTCCGGCCAGCGCCGGTGGCTGGTGTGGGGTAGGGCGAGTGTCTCTGCTTGAAGTAGTCGGACGGCGCGCTGCATACCAGCTCCATACAGGCGAGACAGCGCGGGATCTCCTCATCGGGGCCTGCGGAGAGGCTATATGTCATACGGAGATCACCAGAGAGGCTACAGGTCATACAGAGGTCACCAAAGGAGAGGCTACAGGTCACAAAATGTTACCAGCTAACAGGCCAGGGCGTGGGATCTCCTCGTCTGGGCCTAAGAAGGTTAGATTTCGCATGATAACAGCACATGACAGGGACAAGCTGCCAATGAACTAGGGACCAACGCCCACCAACCGCGACCACACAACAGCCAAAACGTTTTTGTTTCATCCGGTTATCACACTTGACATATACTTCATATGTATTACAATCGAGCTCAGCTTAGGGGTAAAACTATCTTCATGAGGTACAGGGTGTCCCAAAAGTAAGGTCATCATTTGTTTTGGCCACACCGCCAAAAATACGCGATGGATAGAAATAAATAGGACATGATATGAAAAAGCATTTTATAAAATTTTATTCTGATATACATATGAGTCAATACATTGGCTCGTAGCCCCACATTTGCTGCATTTCTGCATGGCTACCATTTCGGGCCGCGTGCATGAATAGACTGCGTTTTACTTCCTCCACTATTCTGGAGCGATTCTCCAGAATAGTGATTCTCCAGAAAAGTCGGTCATTCATATTTTAGGGATGAAAGTATTTTCCCTATTAGGTGTGATTTGCCACCAAAAAGTCTGAGAAATGGAACACTGTACATCACAACCCCGCTAATCCCTCACTCTCAGTTAAGAAACATCATCCCCCACTATCCTTCGCTCACCAATGGTGTAGGTAGCCGGGTCGAAGCCCTGCTCAGGCGGCGGACTCTCCGTAGTAGGAAGCAGCCACGTTATAACCGCCGACTTCTCGCAGTACTGGTCCTGTAGTAGGCCGCGGATCTGCGCGTAGTAGATATCCCCCTCCAAAGAGACCACCGACACGATATCCCCTACCTGGTAGTAGATTCCCTGCCGAAGAGCGGGCGGTGGTAGGGGAAAATTGGACGTGCAAGAACCGAGAAAAAATATCACGACTCTTTCGGGTAAGCGATGTGATGAGGGCCTCTTGCTATAAAAACTGCACGTATCTAACCGAAAATGTATCACCTCTGCTTCATGGTCTCGCAATCTGCAGAGTGATGTTCCACTCCCTCACACACACTCAAACTTACAAACAGTGGTGGCAGTCGGCCGTCTAATAACAACGTATATTGTAGCCGCCGAGCCGCTGTTCGCTGTAACGGACATTATTTTCGATTCGTTGGGTGAGATGCCTTTGGTGAAATGCGAAACTTCAGCTAATGATTTATTCAAATCTTAGTCCATCTCTATGTCATGTCATGTCTTGTCATGTCGTTAAAGCTTTATGCATCTTACGGCTCAGAGCTAAATCAATTAGTATACACAAAACTACGCATCGTAATACAGCAATCGAAAACCCACCAATTTTAGCCTTTTTCGATGACCTGGAAATTTAAATTAAATCTCGCGGGCATCGCACGCGAATATAACTAACGGCGCCGCCACATGACAGACTATTTACAAATATGTACAATACCGTATCGGAATAACGTGATGAGGCGGCAACACTCCCCACCTTGACCCGATCAGGGCTCAACACTCACTACACAACTGCACATGCCATTAAAGCTGACCACTGTACAGCATACACTTACGTCACCTTTGTGGCATCAACTTTCTAACGCGCCATGCAAATGAGCGCCTGCCACATTTGAGCCCTATTTGGTTCAATAACAGGTCCTAAATACTACCGCGCTAAACAAGCACTATTCAACTGTTAGAACGTCAGCATGACAAGCACCAACACAAGGCTCATCACCGATCCATCAATTGTCTCAACTATTTCTGGTCACCATCGCGATCGGTGCGGCATGGTGCTCTGACGAGTAGCACCTTACAGAGATGCTATATCTTTGTGTTCTCACTATTCTGCCTCCAAGATGAGAACGAGCTTCGATATCGGCCTCTTCAGAACTGACGTCTCGGTCTGTACCATTGCAGATCGAACGAAGCCTTTCCGGTCCGGGAAAGTCTCTTTGATTCGGCCCAGAGGCCACCTGGAGCGTGGTGTGCTCGTATCCATGACAAGCACTACGTCATTAACTGCTAGATTTCGTTCCACCTTGTTCCACTTGTGTCTCAGTTGTAATAGCGGCAAATACTCCCGAATCCATCGTTTCCAGAAGATATCGGCCAAATACTGCATTTGTCTCCATCTTCGAGCAGACCGGCTGTCCCTGGCGGTGAACAGGCTGTCTGGCGTAGGGCCGCCCCTCAGCAGGAGAAGGTCATTTGGGGTCAGCGGCTGCAAGTCTGTTGCATCACCTGAGACGGTGGTGATTGGAGTCGAATTCAGTATTGACTCGACCTCGCACAACAGCGTGCGGAGCGATTCTTCCGTCAGCGTTTGTTCCCGAAGGAGCCCATTCAGAATCTTTCTGATGGAGCGAATTTGTCTCTCCCACACCCCACCGTGTGATGATGCACCAGGTGGGTTGAATATCCACGTGATACCCTCCTTCAGGAGAAATTCGTGGACTTTCTTCTCTTGAAGTCTCTTCAACTCTTCGCGCAATTCTTTCTCGGCCGCCACAAAGTTGGTACCGTTGTCCGACCGTATAAGCGTAGCCTGACCTCTCCGAGCCTGGAAACGCCGCAATGCGTTGATGAATGAACTGGTGTCGAGGCTCTCGCATAGCTCTATGTGTACAGCTCTACTGGAAAGACAGCTGAATAAAACAGCATATCTCTTGAGCTGTTTTCTACCCATTTTCACATAAAATGGACCAAAGAAGTCCGTTCCAACTTGGCTGAACGCACCCATGTGCGCTGTCGTTCTCTCTGCTGGCAGGTCTGCCATGATCTGCGTGACCGGGGGGGCCTGCAGCCTCCTGCAGCGAACGCACTTGGAGAGAACTCTGCGGACCGCTGAGTTGCCATCCACTATCCAATACTTGCAACGTAATGCTGCCAGAACATGTTCCCTGCCTGAATGACCTCTGCGCTCGTGCATATCTCGGATGACAAGATCTGTGACATGGCCTTTCTTCGGCAGAATGATCTGGTGGATTGATGACGGTGATAGTCGTGAATTTCCTAAGCGGCCTCCCACTCTGAGTACGCCGTCTACTTTCGCTGGATTCAGTCTGTACAGAGAGCTGGACTTTTTCACTGTTGAGCAAGACAGCTCATCTGGAAAGGATGTCTCTTGTACGTATTTGACGATGGCCATTTCTGCTCTCGTTAGCTCTTCTGCTGTCAATCTCGCACACTGATAGGTACGCGCGAGACCAGCACGACCTCTCTTTCTGGCGTCACGGTTGCGGAGAACATCCTTTAAACGAAGTATCCAGGCCACTCGAGTCTTCAGCTTGTGCCAATCCGATGCACTGTGTAGGAGGCGCATGGTGTGATCCTCGTCTGTAGCTACGACATTCACATAGGGTTTCTTCACTTCCAGTGGCTCAGCATCCGAGCTGGATATGAGGTCTGGCTGTTCCGGCCACTCTGACTTCGGACCTTTGAGGAACGCTGGCCCACCAATCCAATCGGACTCGTTCAGTTCCCGTGCTGAGCTACCACGCGACAGAAGATCGGCCGTATTCAACGCCGACGGCACATACAGCCATTGGTGCGGTTTGGAGCCATCATGAATGATTGTCAGACGATTTGCGACAAATGTTTGAAATCGAGATGTCTCGTTATTGATGTATCTCATGTTTGACATGCTGTCGGTCCAGAAAAACACTTTCTCTATTGGCAGCTCCAATTCTTGACGGATCTGAGTGCTGAGTTGAACCGCTAATGTGGCGGCCGCAAGTTCTAGTCGTGGAATTGAGCATGTCTTCAGTGGAGCTACTCTCGACTTACTCATAAGAAATGCTGTATGCACTGACCCGTCATCTGCAGTTGTTACATAATAAGCTACTGCCCCATAGGCGGACTCGCTGGCATCGGCGAACAAATAAAGTTGATGTCCATGTGTTGGAACGTTCGGAGTCAAACTCCTGGGCACGGAAAATGCGTGTAACTGTTCCAACTGCCGACACCATTCGTTCCATTTTCTCAAATGGACGGCCGGTATTTGTTCATCCCAGTCCAACTTCATCCTGCAGAGGTCCTGGAGTAGTATTTTCGCCGGCAGAATGAATGGAGCTCCGAAGCCTAGAGGGTCATACACTGCGCTGACGGTCCCTAAAATTCCTCTTCTGGTTGCTGGACCCTTTCGGATATCGATACGAAAACTGAGCGTGTCGTTTTGCACATTCCATTGTACGCCAAGAGCCCTCTGTGGCATAGGGCTATCTCCAGTAAGGTCTACCTTGTCAGGAAAGGCACAATCCACCTCGGGCAGCCCACTCAGCGTTTCAGGGCTGTTACTCACGAATCCGGTCAATCGGAAACCTCCCCTAGCACAACATTCTCTCACTCCTTGAGTAACATCCTTCAGTTCTTCGGCCGTTGAGCATGACTTCAGAAAGTCATCGACGTAGAATGACCTCTCGATACTGTGTCTGACGTCTGTATGGAAGTCATTACCGAAATCCTGTGCCGATCTTCTCAGCGCAAAACTTGCACATGAAGGCGAGCTGACAGCGCCGAACAGGTGAACGTTGACCTGATATTCCTGCAGATCCTTTCTTACGTCACCGTCAGGCCACCACAGGAAGCGTAGTAGACTTCTTTGCCTTGATGGAACGCGCACTTGGTAAAACATTTTCTCGATATCGGCCATGACTGCGAATGGCCGTTCTCTGAATCTCATCAGAACGCCGAGGAGAGAACTGGTGAGGTTTGGGCCCTGCATAAGACGATCGTTCAGTGAGGCGTTTCGAAACTTTGCGGAACAGTCGTACACTACACGAATCTTGTCCGGCTTGACGGGGTGGTACACTCCATGATGTGGAATGTACCAGGTTTGCCCAGCGGTTTTGAGGTGACTGTCTTTGACTCTCTCGGCATAGTTCTTCTCGATCAAGTCATTAACAAATTTCTTGTAATCTTCCATGTACTTGTCGTTTTTGTTCATTTTCCTTTTCAGGTGCTCAGCTCTAAGCAATGCCTGTTGCTTATTGTCTGGAAATGGCGCGTCTTCTTTCAGAGGTAAGGGAATCTCGTAATGTCCATCGATATAGCGTGTTCCCGCTTCGACCGTTTTCAACCACACTCTGTCCTCCACTGACAGTCCCACGTCGGTGGAGCTGCCGTTGTCTTCGAAATCCTTATTATATAGCGAGACGAACTTCTCATGAATATCAGAATCACCTCTGAGTACACTGACTCTGTTTACTCTTGCCGCTCCATGATCTCTGGTGGATCGGAGTTCTCGGGGTCCATACACAGCCCAGCCCAGCTCTGAACGGAACGCAAATGGCTCGCCTTCACCGCCTCTCCTGACCTCAATTGGACACAAAGCCTCGGGACAGTTTCCGCCAATCATGAGGCCGATCTCAGCGTCTACTTGTGTCAGAGGAATTCCCTCGAGATGCATCCATTTACCGATGTCGGCTGGGGTTGCGATGTCCTCGTGTTTAACTGGTATCCTTTCAAGTGTGTAGGTGGGTGGCAGCTGAACAGCAGTTGAAGAATGAAGGCCTGTAATAGATAAGCCCTCGACTACTTGACATTGTACGGACTGATTTTCAGAAGCAGCAGTCATCATCGTCAGCCTTGTCGCTTTTCCCTTGACGTTCAGCCTTTTAAGCAGAAGATCCGTGCAGAATGTTGCACTTGACCCGAGGTCCAGGAACGCATGAGTGACGACCGATCGTGAGCCGTCAGGTGATCGAACTAACACGGGTATCACTGCCATCATTGTGGACGAGTCTCCGCGAGCACCAGCCGCCACTTCTGCGCCGTCTATTTCCAATCGTCCGTTTCTTACGACGGCTGCCGGCCCTGCACTGCTACCACTGCCTTGCTTGCTTGTAGCAGAAAATTCGGAAGGAGATGCCTGCTTGTCGTTGTGCAGCGGAGTCGGATGGCGACCCTTGCAGATCTTGCAGGACAGCCTTTTTGTGCACACACTGATCTGATGCCGCTGCCGAAGGCACCCGAAGCAAAGTCTTTGTTCAACGATGAACGTTCTTCTCTTTTCATAGGGCTCATGATTCAGCCTCTCACAGGAATCCGTTGAATGCTGCTCGGCACAGTACAGGCACGTCATCACCCGAGGAGATGCGTCCTTATTGACACCTGTTGCAGACACGATGTGAGGCTTCTTACCGCTTCCATCTGGCTTGGTCAGCTTCCCGAAGGTGGGATCTGTGATTTTTCTCACTTCTCTGTCAACGAAAACTACGATGTCTTCAAATGTCACCTTCCTGTTTGCTTCTTCCTTTATTTGTATCACTCTATTGCGCCAGCTGTCCTGGCAGTGATAGGGAAGCTTTTCCACTATCTTGCGCATCGTTCTTGGATGGTCGGTCTCTCTCGACCCTGGAGGTATATCTTTCATCACGTTGAGACACGACGTGAGCGCGATGGAGAACTTGTCCAGGCTGTCCACATCACCCGGCTTGATAGAATTCCAATCAGTCAGAATGTCGACAAATGCTGATGACACCGAATCAGGGTCTCCATATCGCCTGTTGAGCAGGCGCCTGGCCTCCAGATAACCCGACCCATCTGACATATGCGCGCATCCACGTACGATATCAAGAGGCTTCCCGCGCAAATAGGTCTGAAGATAATAAAGCCTCTCGTCGGGATCATCAGTTTTACTGGCGACTCTGGAGTCGAAAGCTCTAACAAAACTGCGATACTTCGTTACATCACCGTCGAAGACCGGTATCTCCAGCTTAGGCAACTGGCCCTTCTGAAGCTGAGTGAGCAGCACCCTTGAGTAGTCTGCCTGCTGTGACTGCTGAGGCTCTGTGTGACCCCTCTGCTCTGTCGCTGCTCCTGCTGCCTCCGAGTCGTCTATGCTCCTAGCCTCGTGCGTGTTGGGCTCCCGCGATCTCCCAGACGGTCCATCAGAACAGCGACGCTCTTGAGTAGGGTTCCTGAGCCCTGTTTCTGGCTCAGCATTCCCAGAAGTCAGAGACTGAGAGGACGGCTGGTTTTGTCGGTCGGAGAAGGATGTGACTGGTCGTGCCGTGGCCGCCATGCCCCCTGGCTGATCAGCTTCCGCCAGGATCTTCTCTCTTGCCTCCGATTCTGCAAGCTCGGTTCTTATCATTAGTTCCTCTCTACGAAGCCGAAGATTCAGCTCCTCCAATTCGATTTTACGTTTCTCCTGCAGAAACGAGGCTCGTGCCAGCAATGCAGCTCTTTTTGTCGCTTCAATAGCTCGCAGTGAGCGCACTGAGGCGGCAGAGGCGGAAGTGTGACAAGAGACAACTGACTCGCCACACACGGATTGGTCATTCAACGCCGCCTCAGTTATGGAGTCGTTATCTTGTCCGTTGTTGCAATCGGCGTCTTCTCGGTTCCTGCTTGAACCATCGTCCTTTTCATATCTCATAAGCTCTTGCAAACGTCGAACTAGAACGGCCTTCGTGCCCTTAATATTTGCGTGTCTCTCCCTCAGTCGCTCTTTCAACTCACTCACGGTAAGTCTGTCAAGCTTGTCCATTTTGTGACTTCCGCGAGTTGCGTCCGATTAACCAATCAAATGCAGCACAGTGGACCGATTGATCTGCTGTGATGCGTTGAATGCGATCGTCTCTCACGTCAGGCCAGGACGAGACGAGACGTCAGCCGTGAAGCGCGTATGAACTCGCCTTCAGACGTGTTCAATTGGTGCAATCAATCTGTCACGCAAGTCCACTAAAGCCGTCGTTTCCTTGGAAATACAAGAGCTTTTCACATCTTGCAATCATTTTTAGGCCTCATCTCGCAAGCTATTGCAGTCTTGCCAACTTAATCTCGCTTACATCCAAATATGCCATTGTTCTTGCATAGTTCTACGCTTTACCTTCTCGTTTGGCTTTAACTTCGCACAAAGCTTTATCTTAAAGCTTTTACTTGAATGCACTGGCTTTTTAACTAAATGCTTTAGCTTGAATGCATCAGCTTAAACTTAACTGTGAAAAGTTTTAAATGCAAAGCCTTTAAACTAAATGCAAGCTTCGACTTCGAACAAAGCCTTAACTTTAAGCCTTTACTTTAATCCATCAGCTTTAAGTTAAGTTAAATGCTAAAGCTTTAACTGTAGCCGCCGAGCCGCTGTTCGCTGTAACGGACATTATTTTCGATTCGTTGGGTGAGATGCCTTTGGTGAAATGCGAAACTTCAGCTAATGATTTATTCAAATCTTAGTCCATCTCTATGTCATGTCATGTCTTGTCATGTCGTTAAAGCTTTATGCATCTTACGGCTCAGAGCTAAATCAATTAGTATACACAAAACTACGCATCGTAATACAGCAATCGAAAACCCACCAATTTTAGCCTTTTTCGATGACCTGGAAATTTAAATTAAATCTCGCGGGCATCGCACGCGAATATAACTAACGGCGCCGCCACATGACAGACTATTTACAAATATGTACAATACCGTATCGGAATAACGTGATGAGGCGGCAACATATATCATCAATGATGCCCACTGTGAGAGCAGTTTAAGCACAAACTAAGCATAGCAGTAAGCAGTAGCCAACCTTGTGGAAGAGGTAATTGGACGTGACCGGCGTCGCCACCGCCAGAGGAGCCTTCACTGCCTGCGAAAGTCAGCACAATAATTACAGAAACGCGCACAAAGGTAACAAGCGATAACACGAACGGTAACACCAACTATTAGTTTGCACAACAAGAGTTTTAGCCATGTTATACTGCGATTGCGATTTTACTTGAGGTTGAGGATATTTTATCATGATTCAGGAGCAGGAGCTCACGGTCAGGAGAAATATTGATTGAGAAACACCTGCAAATAACTGTGTCAAGGAACTTTTACCCAAACTTATATCATCCACATATGTATATTACCGCCCATTCGTACATCTTTCCCTCCCATCTTGCCCGTCCACTTACGCTCTTCTTGAAGATGATCCTGCGTCCCTTCCCTTTGGGCACTCCGCCCTGCTTCGCCTGCGCCTGTCTCCGGAATCTCGTCATCACCCTCCCTCCCCTACCGGTGGCCGCCGGGGCAGACGCTGCCGCCGCGCCAGCCGCGGGAACCGTCAGAGGGGAGGAGCAGCCCGACCGCGCGTCCGCCAGCAGGCGTCCACACTGGCGGCAGGCGCTGGAGCCCTCCGCGCCCTCGGCAGCCGGCTCAGAGTCCCGGCAGCGCGCGCAGCCGCCGGAGCGTGCGGTGGCGCGAGTGGAGGCCATCCTCAGAGGTGGTGTGAGACAGTGGAAGTAGATGTGGTAGCTGTTGTTGTTCCCTTGTTGCTTTTGTTTATTGTTCTGTGAAAGATGATAACTGGTCAGATGAGACATGGTAGATGTGGTAGATGCACCTAGAAATTATTTTTCATAAAGTGCTTCAAATCAGCTTGTTCTATCTAGTTGAAAACTGTGATTGGCAATATTCCATGCTATGATCTCACTATAAAAGCACATAGTATAAACTTTTCAGACCACCTTTTTCAGTGCCACTTATCAGTGAGTTAAGACTGCAGAGATCCAAAGACCAAAGAGGCGACCATGTCGATAAAAATAATGCTTTACCATGTAGAACAGTGCAAATAGTACACCAGACAGCAGAACAGGCAGACACCAGCTTCACCAAAAGAAAATCTGTCAGTAGAAGCTAACTGGGTAACATTATAGGATGTCTCCAATTCAGCCATTAGCTAATTCCTATATTCTAGAAGGAAATGATTTCAAAGAGCAAAGTATAATAAGAAAAATACACCATTCACCATTCAGTTTAACTGACCAAACAATTTTCAGCCGAAGCTAACTAATCTTACCAAGATCTCAGTCAAGCCGCCGCATGGTCTGTTGTCAACAGTACTGTTTGGTTGGTCCCCTTTTTCGTCAGCATGCTGCCACTTTTCCCAAATAAAGAAGTTCATTTCTGATGTGTCTTGGCCTCTCATCGCCATCAAATGCACAGACCATAAGGCTTCAACCAATATGAAGCCAAGAAATAACAGCAGTTGACCAGATTCTGCTTCAAAATGCAGTTATGCACACAAATTTATAGGTGATGTCTTCAAACTTTGCAATTGATCGCAGTAATGGCCAATGGGAATGCAAACATCCTCTGATTGGGTTAGGTTTAATAAGGCTATGCCAGTTTATATTTACTTCATTTTGGTTCAGTTACATAAGTTTTGACTAGTAAGGGCTCTGTTTAAAATAAATGATGCCATTTTTATACCTTAGGGAAGTGAATAACATTCTCAAGACTACCTAAGTTTAGTGGAGACAACGATCATTGATAATTGATGGTTAGGTAACTTTTTTGCACCACTTTCATTTTCTGCAGCACCAAATTTCATGCTGAGAAGAGAGAAGCATGCTTCAGTAGGTGACGTCACATATGCAATGACGCAGCAGCGTGGGCTGGAGCAATGGGCGACATAGCCCTCACTGCGCATGCGTACTGCAGAATATTTCATTTTGGCAGTGGCCTGACTGGCCCGACGGCCCTCAGAATTACAGTACACAAGTAGTATCATGCTGACAAAGATTATCTGTAATAGTGGTATCAATCTGTTACCAAAATCCTACTGGTAAGCCACCAATACCAAACCAATACAAATTCAGTACCTATTCAGTATTTCATACCAATTGTTTGGTATTTTGTTGGTATTATGAAAACCCACTAAAGCTACAATAAGTTATATGTTACAGGTTACTTTGATCAGCATTGTCAATGCAAACTTGCGATCAATAAATATTTGCGATTTTGATTTGCAAAATGAAGATCAGCAATCAGCATTCTGCATTGGCATGACAATCATGACTTCATTCCAATGAATGAATTTATCATTAACAGGGTACAAACAATGATATTAGCATTAATCATAACAGTCTACAAATGGTTACATATCTAGTTACCATGTTTAAATTATCATTGTATCGATATCTTGCAGACCAAATATTTGAAAATTACCCAATCATTACCTACTCCAGTCTCCAGGTAAGAAAAAAAAAACACACACACACATGACACACACACACAAGCGGCGGTGGCCAAGGCCATGCGGTGGCCAGAGAGAGCGTCACGTATCACCCTTGCGCGCCGTGATCAAAACACAATGATTGTCTAAAAGGCTGCTAAAAAATGGCTGCAAGAAAATTTGATAGCCATCCATGGTTCTAAGTTCTAATCTAACGAGGTTCTTTCATCCATGGTTCTATAATATTGCTTTTCACGCACGACGCAAACTGCAAATGATAACTGTATGCGTAGATAATAATTAAAAGTATTAACCCGCGCCGGGCCGGTGCTCTGAGATTCCGCGCCGGGCCGGGGGGGGGGGGTGTCTGAACACCCCCCCTTCTAACTCGGCTCCTGGGCCACGTAGCGACACACGGTAAGCGGCAATGGAAAGAACGTCCAAAGTAAGGACGAAAACACTTCGGTCATTTTTTGGGTCAGGTCAAAGGTCAGGTCACCAGAGGTCACCAAAGGTCAAATGTCCACTATTTCAACATTTTGGAAACTGCCAACGGCTATCTCGGACACCGATAGAGCTACAGCGCCGCGGAAAAGCGCATTCGATAGCCCTTTTACAGACCTTTCTGAGTAATGTTCTCAGATTTGACCTCAGGTCAACGGTTTAGCCTCCAGAGGGCAAAAACTCCAAAAATAGCCGTTTTTACGAAAAACGTTATTTCGGCAATAACTTTTGACTCAAAAGAGTCATGACATTACTTTGGCCACCATCGTGTTCCTCTCGTCGAGACGCGTCGAATGAACTATAATTTGACCTTGAAAGGTCAACTTGAAAATTTGACCTCAGGTCAAGGTCATGACCTGACCGAAAAAGGTCATGTTGCATATCAGTCGATCCGCAACGTCGAGCCGAATACATCTAAGGCGTTTTCAGCGCTCTAGCACGTCTCTATCAGAAGTTATTAGCGAAAAACTGTTAGATTCTGTTCGTGACCTGAGATGACCTCGGGGACATAACGAGGGGTCACAGTTGCCATTTTCCGGTTCAGTGTGTCCATTTTACCTGCATCTCGATGTTTCAGAGTGTCTAGAATAACGTTCGTGCAAAACAGACGCTTTTCAATTTTCTCCCTTTGACTTATAATGGAGAGGTCGCAAAATTGACCTGACCTTAGGTCACAGATATCAAAATTCCGAGATATACATTTTATAGATAATGTTGCTCTTATCAATCGCTGAAAGTTTCAAGGCAATCGATCAATCGATGTAGCTATGACGAGTATTCTTATTTTTTCTGAGGTGAGGTCACTTGGCGTGACCTGGTGACCTGACCTAAGATGACCTGGGTTTGAAATTTTCACAACATGTGCGGAAAAAATGCACGAACAGGTGTGCCAAAAACGGCGGCGCTCCGCGCCGCCGTTTTTGAGATATCTGCGAAAAACCGCAGGGGGGGGGGGGTGTTCAAACACCCCCCCCCCCGGCCCGGCGCGGGTTAAAACAAACCCGGCAGGCGGTGGGCCTACCAGACACCTTCCGCGCGGTGGGGGGGGGGGGCATTTTTTTGCCCCCCGTATCTCCGAAACTACTGGATGGATCCGGAAAATTCAAACGGCGTTCGATAGCCCTGTCAAATGTGTCGAAGACAACCAAATTTCATTGACCTCGGGGTCACCGATGACGTCACAGGTCAGGTCAAAGATAAAATGTTTCACCGTTCACGGGGCTTCTAGGGAAAGCGCTATAACACCGAGTAAAACGCATTTTGTCGAAAATCAGCGATAAGGCGTCAGTTGTCTAGTACATATATTGCTATTAGAGGTCACTGGTCATACCAGGTCAGGTCACAGGTCAGGTCACCAAAGGTCACCACATGAGCCCAACTTTACTAAGCGTATGCGATGCATGTTTTATGGCCAGTTTTTCATTTCCAACTCAATGGTGTTGGTTATAAGACCATCAGGTACGGTTGAGGTCACTTTCTGGTGGTGGTCATTGTTTAGTTGTCGTTTATCGGTTCGAAGTGAAAGAGCTTATGAATATCAACGCGATTTATTTTAGACCGGTGCGAATGGGCCGAGAGAGAGATCGAAACGTAAACAAGTATGGCGAGCGCCAGCCCACGTCCCATGCGCCAGTCACGCCGCTTGGCGCGCACGGTCAGCTGGCGCCGGCAGGGGCGCTCACAGGCACCTGGCCCAGTGGGGTCGCAGAGGCGGTCCAAATAGGGGGTCTCGGGGCGGCCTATACACAAACACAACATCTCCCCCTCGAGACAACAGTCGTGAAACCGCCAAAAACACAACACTGCACGACGTTGTCTCACTCCTCATACGAGGTCGCACCCCAACGAACGAGCAAACGATCGGGGCTGGCACACATGACTGCTGCGACCCATGGCGGCGGGCGCTTGTTCCGGCGTCCGCAGCGGGCGCGCCCGTTGTCGCCCGGGAGGTCACCGGTAGGCGGCGCTCCGGTGTCGGGTGGCGGCCACGGATCACAGCCAGCGGCGTCTCCGGCCATCCACTGAACCGGGCCCACGAGCGGCGCCAGACACGCGTCATCCTCAGCACAGTCGGTCTGTCCCATGTCCGCCTCCGGCGGCGACACGGCGTCACTGACGACCTCTTCTCTGTCCCTGCGTTGCGTCGGCGGGCCTCCCACCAGCGGCGGCGAGGCTCCGTAGGCGTCATCAGTCTCACCGGGTACGGTGGGCTGTGTCACGGAACAGTCGGTTTGGCCGGTGTCCGCCGGCGGCGGTGACACGGCGGGGCCGGCAGCTGCACCTGGGCCCGTGCTCAGCGTTTGTAGGCCTCCCGCCGGCGGCGGCGAGGCCCCGTGGGTGTCGGCTGGCCTGCTAGACTGCCCTGCGGTGGACTCAATCTGGCCGGTGTCCGCCGGCGGCGACGACACGGCGGGGCCGGCCGCTGCACCTTGGCCCGTGCTCGGCGTTGGGATGCCTCCCACCGGCGGCGGCGAGGCTCCGTAGGCTTCAGCGGCTCCGGCCGGGCCTGCGGGCTGCGCCGCAGTGCCCCCGGGCTGGTCCGTGTCCGCCGGCGGCGGCAACACGGCGTCACCAGCGGTTTTGTTTCCGTCGCCGGTCCGCGTTTGTAGACTCCCGCCGGCGGCGGCGAGGCTCTGTACGCTCCAGTAACTCCGTCCGGCTCCGTAGACAGCGCCGCGGTACGCCCGACTCGGCCCGTGTCCGCCGGCGGCTGTGACACGGCGTCGTCAGCGGTTCCGTGTCCATGGCTGGTCCGCGTTGGAAGGCTTCCCGTCGGCGACGGCGAAGCTCCGTGGGCGTCAGCCGGCTCTGTAGGCTGCGCCGCGGTACACCCAGCTCGGTCCGTGTCCGCCGGCGGCGGTGACACGGCGTTATCAGGGGCTGCCTCTCGGTCCGTGGTCTGCGCCGGCCAGCCTCCCGCCGGCGGCGGGCAGGCTCCGCGCGCGCCAGCCGGCTCGGTGGGCTGCGCCGCGGCACGCCCGGCTCCTCGGCCCGTGTCTGCCGATGGCAACGACACGGCGGCGCCGGTGGCAACCGATCGGCCTCCCGCCGGCGGCGGCGAGGCTCGGTACACTCGGTCCGTGCTCCAAGTTGGGATGCCTCCGGCCGGCGGCGGTGAGGCTCCGTAGGATGCGGTAGCTCCGACCGGCTCAGTCGGCTGCGCTGCAGTACTGCCGGTGCGGCCCGTGTCCGCCTGCGGCGATGACACGGCGTTGTCAGGGGCTGCCTCGCCGTCCATGGTCTGCGCTGGCCAGCCTCCCGCCGGCGGCGGGCAGGCTCCGTGGACGTCAGCAGCGTCACTCAGCTCGGCGGGCTGAAGCGCAGTGTGCCCGGCTTGGCCCGTGTCCGCCGGCGGCGGCAACACGGCGGTGCCGGCGGCTACCGTTACTGGCGCCACCACCGGTGAGTCGCGTACTTTCGTCGCTGCAGAGGTCGCCACTGGCCGATCAGCCGTCGGGCGGGTGCCGATACTGTTGAGGTGTCCGTTCTTCACTCGCTGTGCGTCCCGCTCGTGCTGCTCTCGCTGGCCACTGCGAGCTGGTGAACCACGGGCAGGGTCTCCAGGCACTGCAGCACCGTCAGCAGCGGTGACGCGGCTCCCAGCGACCGCCGTGGAGCTGGCACTCTGGTGGCACACAATCTCAAAATGCCCCGGTTCGCCACACGCACGACAAATGGCGCCAGCGGCGCGACACGTGTCTCCGCCGGCGTGCTGGCGACGGCCCCAGGTAGGGCAACGCTCAAGAAACTGATGATCTGTAGCGGTGGCGGAATGGGCGACACTCGGCCGCCTGCGCCTCTTGTAGGCCGGCAGGCGCGCCGCCGAATGTCCCTCGTTGCCGCGGAGGCCTGGGCACGTGACACGGGCACCATCGCTCGCCCGACAAACGTTCACGGCGTGTTTGAGCGTCAGCTCAAAGTCCTCCAGCCTGCGGCTCACCGCTCCTGAACCACTGTCGGGCACACTGCACTCGGCACGGTCGTCGCACGTCGATGCCGACTTCGGTCGCGGGGTCGGGGTCGCCGACACCGGCAGGCAGACAGTCAGGCGGGCGGCGGCAGCTGGTCCAACGGATCCATCAGCGCCTCGCTCAGCCCCCGACTCTGACACTCCGGTCGTTACGTCCGTCCCCGCGGAGGGCTCCCCGGTTAGGAGCCTCTCCAAGCGCTCCAGGCGCTTGTCGGCCTCGGCGGCTCTCTTCACCTGCCTCTCCAGCAGTGCCGTCAGTTCTTGAATGATGCATATTTACGTCTGGACAACGAGTTGCGGGGAAAAGTGCTGATTTTGTTGCAGTTTTAGGAGCCGGTGATTAGGCTGGATTTTGGGTTACTTTTTCGTTCCGATTCATGTGTTTCATAGTGTTTGGCTTTTGAATATTTTAGTTCTTTCAGATAAATATTACTTGCCTCACAACTTTTGTAAAAACGTTTCATTTTTTTATAAGCCGACGTTCAGAGCCCTAAAAATACATCAGCACTACAATCATTGTAAACAAACAAATGGAGCACCACTTGGCTCTGTTCCAAGGCCATTTTTACTTACCTGACTTACCTGGTTGGGTTCCTTTTGCGTCCGGGGAGGAAAATGGTGGAGAAAGTGAGAGAGGAAGGTACAAGGAACCCTGCATTTAAGAGACGCGCCAGTCAGTAGGAAGTTTGTGCTGTAGATTATACATGTACAAACTGACTGGAGAAGTGAGTCTCCTTCACAGATTTACAGGAAGTAATTACTTAATGCACAAAAGTTCAGCATGGAGAAATGTTTGGAACTGTCCTAGTTCTTAGTGTAGGTAGAGCTTTCACGTTGGGTAAGAGTACAACGCATCATTGATATCGCGATCTAACAAAGATTTAAACGTGTTGACATCGTGAGCACACACAGTTTGAGCGGGGAGGGCATTCCATACAGAAATACATCTTTGAGAGAACGAGCGCTTCCTAATGTCAGTGTTTATGGCAGAGGGAAATATTTTGTGGCAATGGCCTCGTGTACGATTCTGAGGCGGCTGTGGAAATAAATCAGCCGGAGATATACAAGATTTTCCGTTAAAGATTTTCCAGTACTGTAGAAGATCTGCACGCAGTAGCCTTCCTTGGACGGAATAGAGACGTAGGGATCGTAGACGTTCACCATAGCTCATGGTCTCCAAGCCACAAATGCGCTTAGTCCATCGGCGCTGCACTCTTTCTAATAGCCTCAAATCCTGAATAAAACCAGAGTTCCAGACAGGAGAGGCATATTCAAGCACTGGTCGTATGTGAGTGGTGAGCAGGAACACCATGAACTTTGGAGATCGACACACAGTGGATTTAAGGAAGCTATAGGCCAAAGCGCCAGCTTTATGAGTAGCCATACGGATATGGTCGTGGAATTTCAAGCCATAATCAATCAGTACACCAAGGTCGGAGGCAGAGTGGACATGAGGAATAGGTTTGCCATCTAGGGTATATGTGGGGCGGACTACATTAGTAAAGGACCTCGAGAAACGGAGGACTGAGCACTTCTTTACATTCATAAACAAGCCCCAAGAAGCAGCAGTAGAGTTTTAGTTTATCAGGTGGTTTTCTTACTCTTGTACGTCGTTTTGTTGGATGTTTTGAATATTGACTTATATCATATTTAAGAAGCATGTTGACTGAAAACAATCCGAAGTATCCAGGAGGCTGACAGAGGTCCTGACTCCTGAGCAATATCAATATCAAGTTGTACAAGTTATGAAATTTTGGTTGATAAACGCAAGGTGATCGGGCTCATATATCAGCAAGAAAAAGTAAAATTAAAAGAGCTTATTGGCCAAAAACAAGCTATAATATTGCAGACCTTGGAGCAATGCCTACTGAAGAGCACGCTGAGCAGGATCATGCCAGAAAATGTTGACTGATGAGTGCATATTGATGTATTGGTATGGATATTGAATGATAACTTACAACAAGATAAATTAGTGCTAACTTTCAAGTTAAAAATCTAGAATGAATGGACTTGGGCAGCTTAGATGCTTCATGCTATGCAGATTGTAATGTGCATCAGGAGGGGTGTTCACGGGCACCGCACACTGCTGCGTGCGGTGTGTGCGGTGCGTCCAGCAGGCGTGGGGGTAGGGGATGGGTAGGCGGTTCTGACGTCACGGCTGCATGCGGTGGACGGTCCGCTGTGGCCAGTCCCGACCGGCCACAGCGATCGCTGTGTGCGGTGACGGAAGGCTGACGTAGGGACGAAGTGGGCGGAGCCTCGAGGCTGTGTGCGGTCCGACCGCGCACAGGGCCCGTGAACAGCCCTAGGTACTCAGTGTCTGGCAAATGAAACATGCGATCATCATTCCATTGCTACTGGAGGAGAAAGCTTGGATCACTAAATCCACTTTATGTTGATTTTGATGTTAATCATCACTGTATTTCTTGAAAAAAGGATTGTAGTAGAATTGTCAATGTGACAATCCATGCAACGATGTGATCATATAATGTGTTCATAGTCATTCGTGATAGTGATTATTGGTCAAATATACAATGACAAAGCTCTCAGTCTCAGCGTTTCTTCCTGCGGATGGCCAGCAGTGACTCAGAGCTTAGAAGTATTAGTTTTCTTCACAGGGCTGGGATAAAAAGTACTGAGGGTAATCTTCCACCAAGGAACTCTACTTTGACATGGTATGAGATGTAGGCACAAGTAGGTAGGTGCTTAGTTCCTATAGTCAGTAGTTGTGTATGTTTAGTCGGGCTAGCTTAGATGAGATTGTTAGTTTTTTAATTTGCCAAGTGTCCATAAAAATGTGACCTGAGCAATGAGCATACTCCTTGACTATCCTGACAGCTGACCTAACCTCAATCATCACACATATTTGCAGCCTACCCAAGACCTGCATAGCAGTAGCACCCAGTTATAGGTAGGTACTCACCCTAACTCAATCTTACCTGCTAACCTTCAACTTGCCAAAAGTTAGCTCACATTGCCAAGCTGCATCCAGGGAAACAGTCAACTGAGGAACTGGCTCATTGGGTGGCTGTGCATTTAAAGTGTTTCTTCTCTGAAGCTGCTCTGCACTGCTGTATGTCATGTTAGATGCTCAGAAAATGTGGGAAATGATAACTAAGCTACTTTAGTGCTTTGTTAATGCTAGACATGAACAAGTACAGATCCTGCAGGGTACAGCTATGAGTTAGGTGCTAGGTGAGTATGTTATGTGAATGTGCTGTTCCCTGTTTGACCATAGTAAGTATACAAACAAGCACAGGGTCACAGTTACCTATATTCAATCTCCACATAAACATACCTACAACAAAAACGGCCATATGGCCTAACTCCGAACACACCACAGATAACTTAAGCCTTCGCAGGCACAAAAATGTTTTGATTAACAGGACAGGTATACAATATATCCTCTGTCCTTGGGGGATCTTGCTGCCAAGTTGAGGTACGATGACTTAACTTCAGGATTGATCAACCTTTTCTTAGCCACTGCTTATATACGAGAAAGACCAAATGCTTGTTTGTTTTGATTTACAGGACATGTATACAATATATCCTCTGTCCTTGGGGGATCTTGCTGCCAAGTTGAGGTACGATGACTGAACTTCAGGATTGATCAACCTTTTCTTAGCCACTGCTTATATAGGTACGCGAAAGACCAAATACTTGTGTAAACTGCGTTGAAAATTTAATGATCCACCTTCAATTCTGACATGAAGGCACAAATGAAATAGTTCCCTCTCCTTTTGGAATACACAAAGCAAAATATTTAATAAATTTTAGTGGATGGACAAGATTAATTAGCATAGCTTCCCCTCAAGTTAACTTCTGGCCAAGGCCGTATAAGTTCTTCTGGCACTAACGGCACTAATGAATGACACACTGACGCTTATTCGCTTCATATTTTGTAACAAACGCGCTAAAACTGCAATATAACAGCACTATATACTTCTTGACAAAATGCAATAGAAGTAAAAATTTAGCCCTGATGGCATTCATTCTTGGTGGAAACGTTATTACAAAATATTTTGTAGTAACTATTAAATTCCGGCCGAAAACAGTCCACGGTTTAAAAAAGAATCATTCAAATGACGGTCCATTTTTGCGGTTCTGAAATCGCCACTATTTCCGGCCTCTCCAACGCAACTCGTTGTCCAGACGTAAATATGCTTGAATGATAGTCATCGCGGTATGCTCAATCACGTAGTAATTTACAAAACCGACCGCGCCATGTTTGGTTGTCGTTTATCGGTTCGAAGTGAAAGAGCTTATGAATATCAACGCGATTTATTTTAGACCGGTGCGAATGGGCCGAGAGAGAGATCGAAACGTAAACAAGTATGGCGAGCGCCAGCCCACGTCCCATGCGCCAGTCACGCCGCTTGGCGCGCACGGTCAGCTGGCGCCGGCAGGGGCGCTCACAGGCACCTGGCCCAGTGGGGTCGCAGAGGCGGTCCAAATAGGGGGTCTCGGGGCGGCCTATACACAAACACAACATCATATCAAGGTCAGGTCAAAAAAGGTCAAATTTCAAAGTTGATATTTTTGCATAAAATGGGTATCGATTCGATGCAGCTCGTCACGGAGAGTCTAATGGTGGTCTTTGTTTTGTGCTACGAGGTCTGGAATTGCTAAAAATTGAGTTTGAAAATTTGACGTCATCAATTTTGAACAGTTTTTTTCGCTATAACTTGGCCAAAAAAAAGAGGTATCGATCTCAAATTTGGTATGTACTATGTAGATAGAAGGCGGTAGGGACTATCACATATATTTGTAGCCCTTTTGATCCCACGCCTTTTATGTCTAAAACATTTTTCTGTATCTCTAAAGCTGTAGGCCTGACAGCTCTTCCCGCGAAACCTTTTTTTTGGGTCGAAAATGGCAAAAATGACGTCACTCTGACGTCATTAGCGGCCAACCTATCATAGCCTTTGGAAAAATTGTTGGTCACCACGTGCGCTAGCTGCTCCCGGGAGGGTACTGAAAGTCTGGTGACGATCGGCGCTGCGGTTCTCGAGATAGGTATATCGAAAAAACTAGGGGGGGGGGGGGAAAAATGCCCCCCCCCCACCGCCTGGAAGGCTAACTTTTTACACTTATGAGAAAGTGGGGTAAAACGGTTGGGGAAACCCACCCTGACCGTCTTACCCTACTTTCCCTTCTGTGTAAAGCGTTACAGCATAACAAGTATAGTTTTCCAGGAGTGGGCCAAAATTGTCCAAGGTGGCCAAAGTTGCACGGTACGTCACTGTGACGTCATCTTAACCCGGCAGTTGCTGGGGTATTTCGCCACCCACCGTTTGCTGGGGGGGGGGGGGCGTTAAACGCCCCCAGCCGATAACTCGAGAACCAATAGGCGCAGCGAAACGCACGAGGCGGCAAACGAAAGAACGCGACGAGACGCTTCAGATGAGTACTTTAAAGTTGAATTTTGAGGTCACAGGTAGGGTCAAGGTCAGGTCAAACACCTGAAATCGGGCTTTCAGTAGCATGGACTTCAGGACTTCGCAATGGGCGCGTCTCGTCATAAACTCTGTCAAAACGGTGCACAATCCATCATATAAGGCCTACAAGAGTGTCAGCTCCATGTAGGGGTCAGTCAAGCATAGGTCAGGGTCAAGGTCAGGTCAACCGGGTAGGCAAATATCCCCGAAAATCAAAACTGATATTTGCAGCCTGTGACACATGTTTTATGGGTAATTTGGGGTGTAGAACACGATGGTGACATTCATTTTATCATATGTGTACGTGTTTGGCTCAAAAAGTTCAATTTAAGAAATGCATGTATCATAGTCGTGAAGTAGTCACGAGAAATTGCCAAGATTCAGTTCAAGATTTTGGAAAATGCGGAACGATAATCAATAATCGAAGATAGCCATTTGATTGTTCATGGTATTGGCAGTCTAATGGCGTTTACGGCATGTCTGTATGTCTATTCTGTGATTTTATATGATTTTTTGAACATATGCCGTTTTTGGTCGAAAACTCAAAAATCATGACGTCACTAAAACCTCGATATCTCAAAAATTTTCCGACCGATTTTTTTGAAACTTTGTCACAATACACTTCAATCAATTCCCAACAGGTACCCAAAATTTGGCGCGCCTGCGGCGCGCCGTTTTTATGCTATGGCCCGGCGAAAAAAGTGGGGGCGTTTAACGCCCCCCCCCCCCAGCAACTCGCGGGTTATTAATGTAAGCACGAAACAAATATGGCCTAGATATTTATTTGAAGCTATACAGTTATACGTTCATGTTTTATCAGTTTTCGCCGATAGGTAAGTACCTATATCCGGAGATATCACAGCATAACATAAAGGGGGTAACTATTTAACCCCCTCCCAGCGGCTCTTGGGCGTTTTTATTTTAACCCGCGCCCGGCTGGGGGTCCTGGATTTCCACGCCCTGCTGGGGGGTGTTTGAACACCCCCCCCCCTTGTAACTCGGCTCCTGGGCCACGTAGCGATACGCGGAAGGCGGCGTTCGAAAGAGCGTCAAAAAAAAATGACGAAATCACCTCGGTCGATTTTTTGGTCAGGTCAAAGGTCAGGTCACCAGAGGTCATTGAAGGCAAAATTTCGCCGATTTCCAGGTCTAATGTCGAAAATTTCCAAGAAGCCAACGCATAACTCGGGAACCAATAGAACTACAGCGCCGCGGAAAAGCGCATTCGAAGTAGCCCTATTAGCGCCCTTTCTGAGTAATTCTCTCAGATTTGACCTAACGTCAACGGTTTTGCCTGCAGGGGGCAAAAACTGCAAAAATAGCCGATTTTTTCGGAAACAGTTTTTCTGCAATTACTTTTGACCCAAGCCTTGTGCGAGCTTACTTTTACCGGCATCGTGTTCCTCTCGTCAAGACGCATCGAATGAACTATAACTTGACCTTGAAAGGTCAACTTTAAAATTTGACCTCAGGTCAAGGTCATGACCTCACCGGAAAGGGTCATGTTGCATATCAGTTGATCCGTATCGTCGAGCTGAACACATCTAAGGCGTTTTCATCGCTCTAGCATGCCTCTATCAAAAGTTATTCTCGAAAAACTGTTAGATACCATTCGTGACCTAAGATGACCTCAGGGCATAAACAAGGGTCACAGACACCATTTTCATGTTCAGTGTGTCTAAACCACTTGTAATTCGGTGTTTGGGAGTGTTTATAATGTCTGTCGTCCAAAAGAGGCGCATTTCAATTCTCTCCCATAGACTTATAATGGGGAGGTCGCAAAATTGACCAGACCTTAGGTCATTGATATCAAAATTCTGAGATATACATTTTGTACATGCTATTGCTCTTAGCAATCGCTGAAAGTTTCAAAGCGATCGGTCACTCGGTGTAGCTATGACAGACATTGAAACTTTTTTATGAGGTGAGGTCACTTCAAGTGACCTGGTGACCTGACCTTGAATGACCTTGGTCTGAAATTTTCACAACATGTGTAGAATTGATGTATGATAAGGTGTACCAAAAACGGCGGCGCTCCGCGCCGCCGTTTTTGAGATATTCGCGAAAAACCACAAGGGGGGTGTTCAAACACCCCCCAGCAGGGCGCGGGTTAAAATTCGTACTTATAGTGGTTTCGGACATATGGAAGCTGTGGTAGAACCCTTTCTCCTTTGCCAACAGCGTAATGGAATATCAATACGGGCATTTTGCACGTCACGCTGTGGTTATTTCGCTGCCTTCACCTGTCTACAAAGAAACGGCAGCCCCGTTTACATAGGATTTGTTGCCAGATAGTGGAATTCCGATACCGATACATTTATTCCATTCCGCTAGTTCTGACGACCTATCCGGCCTTAGGTCGTCAGAACTAGCGGAATGTGCCTGAAGTGTCTCGTTAGTGGAATAAATGTCTCGGTATCAGAATTCCACTATCTGGCAACGAGTCCTATGTATAAACAGTGCTAATGATCGGCAGCCTGTGAAAAAGAAAGCTGCATAAAAAAATGCCGAGGTGCGTCACAATTCTGATAACCACTCTAAGTATCGCCGAAACCTGTTCACCCAACGCGATAATTACCTACCGTGTTTTCCCGTCACTGGCTACCGAGTGGTACAACCGTGTATTCCGTATCGCCAGCTGCGACTGTGTGCACAGTGCATGGCGTAAACTGCGACTGTGTGTGGCGTAACGTTGCATGAGTTGTAGTTGCAACGTTTTCTTGTCCAGTGAATTGACGGCTATCGACGGGCGTGGCGCCGCGGAGGCGGGCGGGACGATTTGTATTCTCATTTGTGAATTGTGAGAATCATTACCTCGGCGGGATCCGAATGACAGCAAGGGCCACATCGTCTCTGTCCCCGTACTCCCGAGATAGCGTCGGAGGGGCGCGTCTGTGGTGCACCCACGACTATGCATTCTTGGACGATACCGCGAAAACGAAATATTTCCATCGAGAGTTTTCAAAGGATTTCATGCACGAGGCCTTGGCCGAGTGCATGAAATTCTTTGAAAACTCGAGATAGAAATATTTCGTCGCGGTAGAGTCCTAGATATTATTTCCTGTATGTTTCTTAATATCGCTCGTTATCTGCTTAAAAAAGGCCGAAATATGCATAAATAAAATATAGTAACATTAACTACACGTTAGGTACTGAAATACTGGCAGTTCTAATTACTTAACAGTGCAGCAAAGCTTACAAATTTTCTTTAAAACAGAAGCCCTCGATGAAATCAAGCTATCCAAGAAAACCATCCAAGAAAACGTCTCGCGCAAAGTTTCTTGGATGGCTGGATTGCATTGCAAGACTGCATCAAACATACAGGAACAAGATTATGTGTGATCTTTCCAACAATTATTTTAATAATCCCACGACGTCGCTGGACCGCCGCCCCGGTATGGGCTCGGCGCTTACTATATGTGCAGGACGATGTATCCAAGGCCATATATAGAGATGTATCGCTCTCTTGTATTTTTACTACATTTAGCTTCATTTTAGACTCTCCATGAAACTTTCACAAACAATATATAGGTATTAGGTACGGTCGTGGAGACGAATAATTTCAGTAACCAATGTCCGATAGCATTCTCCCAGTGGCCTTCCGTAGATTACCTATGTAACGGAGTGCCATTGCAGGGTAGTAGCTAGCTAACTAGCTAATTTAACCCGCGCCCTGCTGGGGGGGGGGGTGTTTGAACACCCCCCTTGTGGTTTTTCGCGAATATCTCAAAAACGGCGGCGCGGAGCGCCGCCGTTTTTGGTACACCTTATCATACATCAATTCTACACATGTTGTGAAAATTTCAGACCAAGGTCATTCAAGGTCAGGTCACCAGGTCACTTGAAGTGACCTCACCTCATGAAAAGTTTCAATGTCTGTCATAGCTACACCGAGTGACCGATCGCTTTGAAACTTTCAGCGATTGCTAAGAGCAATAGCATGTACAAAATGTATATCTCAGAATTTTGATATCGATGACCTAAGGTCAGGTCAATTTTGCGACCTCCCCATTATAAGTCAATGGGAGAAAATTGAAATGCGCCTCTTTTGGATGAAAGACATTATAAACACTCCCAAACACCGAATTACAAGTGGTTTAGACACACTGAACATGAAAATGGTGTCCGTGACCCTTGTTTATGCCCTGAGGTCATCTTAGGTCACGAATGGTATCTAACAGTTTTTCGCAAATAACTTTTGATAGAGGCATGCTAGAGCGATGAAAACGGCTTAGATGTGTTCAGCTCGACGATACGGATCGACTGATATGCAACATGACCCTTTCCGGTCAGGTCATGACCTTGACCTGAGGTCAAATTTTCAAGTTGACCTTTCAAGGTCAAGTTATAGTTCATTCGATGCGTCTTGACGAGAGGAACACGATGCCGGTAAAAGTAAGCTCGTACAGGGCTTGGGTCAAAAGTTATTGCAGAAAAACTGTTTCCAAAAAAATCGGCTATTTTTGTAGTTTTTGCCCCCTGCAGGCAAAACCGTTGATGTTAGGTCAAATCTGAGAGAATTACTCAGAAAGGGCGCTAATAGGGCTATCGAATGCGCTTTTCCGCGGCGCTGTAGCTCTATTGGTTCCCGAGTTATACGTTGGCTTCTTGGAAATTTTCGCCATTCGACCTGGAAATCGGCGAAATTTTGCCTTCAATGACCTCTGGTGACCTGACCTTTGACCTGACCAAAAAATTGACCGAAGTGATTTCGTCATTATTTTTGACGCTCTTTCGAACGCCGCCTTCCGCGTATCGCTACGTGGCCCAGGAGCCGAGTTACAAGGGGGGGTGTTCAAACACCCCCCCCCCCCCCAGCAGGGCGTGGAAATCCAGGACCCCCAGCCGGGCGCGGGTTAATAAGCATAAGATCTTAGCCAGGTTACTTGAATTCCAACACAATTTTGGAAAAAGTACCTACGCTTCTTCTTTCCTTTCAACACTCGGCACGATCTTATTCTACGTAGATACCCACACGGCTACTGCACTTGAGTCTGGCCTCGAATAGATGAACCACACCTAGCAGTGGCATTAAAAATACTGGTGCGTGTCGTGTGTAGCGTTTATAGGTGGGCAGCGTGATGCGAGTATTTGCTTATCTTTGACAAACCTGGTAGTTAGCGCGTGCAATGAACAACAAAGCAAGCCGATGAGCTTGCCCAAGGGTAATTAGAAGCGAATCCTTGTGAGGCGCGCAAGAAACAGTGGAGTGAGGACGCTGTCTTGGTAACCATAAAACAACCTAGAAGGCTTATGGATTGGACAGGTGCGTGCGCGGCTGCGTGGTAACTGGTAACAGAAGAGCGGAAAATTATCAATCAACCGCACTCACTGGCAGCCATGGCCCGGCCGGGAGCGGTACTGCTGCTGCTCCTGGTGACGTCAGCGGCCGCGGTCCGGTACCGCTGGCTGGACCCGGTGTCCCTCCACAGTCCGGCTGTGCAGACGCTGTCAACTGGATCGTCAATACAATGCGCTATCCTCTGTCACATTCTGTCCGCTGAAGAGTGTGTCGGTCTCATCTACGGGCCAGGTGACGGCACGTGCCGGCTGTTCTCTGGCGACTGCCGCGGTCCGGCCGTCAACAGCTCTCAGCAGACCACTGAACGCTACATGGCCCGGTCCAAATGTCCCGGTAAGCACTGGGGTGATGGTAAAAACGTCCATCATGCACCAACTATCTGTGTGGCGGCTGCATCAGCGACCGACGTGTGGCGTGGGGCAAGACTGCCGCGTACTGTATAAATCTATGAGAATTGACGGTTCAATGTCCTCTTTTTATTCTCTTTGGGAACACGCCTCTGATCTTCCCTTGATTTTAGGACGCACTCTGCACATAAAACAATATCATACCAGCAAACTACTTGGAGTGAGAGCAGAGCGAGAATTTTACGCTTTGATCCTCGCCAGGCGAGGAAGGGTTGATGTAACACTTACCTTCCCCCTCGGCCCTTAAGGTTTTTCACCAATAGCCTTAAAACGTTGGCGCGTAGCGCCGCAAAGTTGGCATACCCTGTATGGCAACCTTTCTACACCTTTTCTAAAAAAAATAACTCTCAGTCATTTCTGGTAAGGTCACCAGATCACAAAACCGGTACAAAGTCAGGGTAAAATTGGGCTAATCGGCGGCAACGGAACGACATAGTATTTCGTTAATAGCGTGAGTGCCGTGGCACGTAGCGCTACTTTCAGACAAGAATTGGGGTAATAATTTGCCACGTGTCCTAAGGGTTTTGAGTTCATTTTTGTCAGGTAAGGTCACGAGGTCATAAAAACCGGTACAAGGTAAAAATGGCACTGAAAATAACTATTTTGCCAATGAAGGAGTTGTTTATCGATTTTATTCAATCTAGCAGAATATGCTAAGCTCACCGAGTGGCATAATCTATATTCCACTTTTTTTCAAATCGGGTGACCTGAGGACAATGCTGAGGTCATCTAGAGGTCACGACAAATTCTAAGACAATTTGTCCGAATGGCTCGAATTGTAAAATATGCTCCATTTCAACGTGTTTGTATTGTAATATCTTCACTTACATCAATACCGTATGATTTTTGTGTTAGCGTGCTGCAAGAACGCCAAGTCGGGTCATTTAATCCTCGCCGGACCTATTTGTTTTCTATGTACAGCCCTCTGCAGACTGGAAGATGAAAAATGGATACGGTGATGATGCCAATCTAAGGGGCGGGGTCTAGCGCGTCTTGCTGTTACGATTTCCGAATGACCGATAGCATAGTATTCGCGTTATTCTCATTTTTGTCGAAAAAAGAATACCTACCACGCAGTTTGCAGAGGGCTGTACCAGCCGGCCGAGGGGGGGGCGGTTACGACCCCCCCCCCTTGAAGTTTCGCCCCTGATGGAGCTAATAGAGCTTCGCGGAAAAAACGAGTGCGTGTGTGCCGTTACGAGACGCAGCGATTGGCATCCGAATTTAAGATTTCAAGTCAACCAGTGACCTCTAAGGTCAGGCTAAGTGGCCCGAGGCGCGGGTCCGATTTTTAGGCAAATAACTTCGCAAAAAACGGTCGCAGAGCCGCGAATTTGGCATCATCGTGTTTGCCTCACTCAGGCACGTCGAGTGGTATACTTCTTGTTGGGGTGAGGTCAACTTAAGGTGTTGACCTCGGGTCACGGTCAGGTCAGAGTCCCCCAGGTCACGAGCTTGGTCGAAGGAGTTCATGTTGCATATCATTCGATTTGGCAGGCCTTCCGAAGTCCATTGGTGTCTTTCCCAGCTTGCTACCTCAATTTGATCAGAAGTTATTGACGAAAAACTGTTATGACCCTAGTAACGTTATACATGACGTCACGCAAGGTCAACAATGCAAAAGTGAAGCCTTTTTACTTGCAAGGATTGCATTAAATCACGATATCGTGTGGTTGAGATAGTTTGAGATCGTTCCCGGCGCAAAAATACCTAGCAGTGTTCATTTTCCCCCTTGACTTATTATAATGGTGAGGTCACGTGACCGACCTGACCTCATGTGACCTTTAGGGAAAATCCGAGGTATATCAAGTTGAGACCTCTGGAGGATACTAGGTCCTGCATGTTTCATTTCCCTGTGAAAACTCCTCTAGCACTGAGGGCGTTGCGAAGTTGCGACACCTGACGACCGTGCAGAGGAGGTTCACTTATGACGTCATAGGTCAGTGACCTGAACTGACCCGAAAATTTAGTTGCTAGTTTGGTAGCTTCACATGTTTCATGAAAGCTTTCAGTTACGAAAGTTGTAAGCCTCAAGAAGGGTGAGAGAGAAGAAACGAAACGTCGTTGGTCGTCAGAAAAAGTAGCTGAGATATGCTCTATTTACCGTTATTTACAGGCACTGGAGCTGACCCATGCGCCTGTCCGGCCGGCTTCAGCCGCTGCGCCGGCCGCTGTCTGAAGCGACTGGACCTGGCAGTCACCTACGCCGAAGCGGAGAGCCAGTGCGCCGCGCTGGGTGCCCACCTGGCCGTGCCCCGTTCTGACGAGGAGAACCAGTGCGCCATTGATGCCGCCGGCGCAAATATCGTCTGGCTGGGGTTTAATGACGTCATCACTGAAAACCAATTCGTGGCCGACGACGACTGCGGCACCGTGCCATCCGATGACCCCTCCTGGGCCGTTGGCCAGCCCAACAATAACATGGGCCAAAGCCACGGGGCCCTGACTCCGCCGGGTGCGATTACCACATGGTTTGTTGGCTGGCACGATGTGCTGCCTACCGAGCTTTTGAAGCCGCTCTGTCAGCTAGACCTCTGCCACCAGAGTCGATGTCAGTGAAGGAGTTCTATCCATACCACAGCCCAATGAAGGAATTCTATCCTATTGTCAATTGAAGGGAATCTATCCTTCCAGAGTTTTAACCCTCGCCCGTATAGGGGGGGGGTCGAACAGACCCCCCCCCCCATGGTTTTTCGCGAATAACTCGCGTAAAAAGCGGCCGATCGCGACGAAACTTTCAGTACCCTCGCGTTAATCAATTTTACACCTACCCTGAAAATTTCATGACCCTGACCCCAATGACCTTTGACCTGTGACCTACTTTTCGAGACCATGTTTGGCCGGAATCGCGATTCGGCGTATGTCGGCTCGCATTAGCCGCGCGTTTGCAGTCTTTTCGTGGTTTCAAGCGTTCAAACATGTGATATGATGTTGCCCCCATGCATTAGGGTGGGTGTCAAGGTCACCCGAAGGTCAGGTCAGGTCATTGACCTTTGGTGACCTCGGTTCACTTTTTCGAGTTTTACATGTTTCTAGGCCAGTTTTTGGAGCTGAATTCGAATTTAGCAACCATATGAACATTTACGAAGTAGTTTTGGTGCCTTCGTAACATGTTACGAAGCTGTCAGAGGCGGTTGACACCTACTAGGAATACCCGGCAGGACCCCTACTGTTTGACCTGACCTGACCTGACCCGACCTGGACTAAATGCATAAAGACATCATCTGTGATCAAAACTAACACGATATTCGTGATCAGCGCCCCGAAAACCCTATAGCAGCTACACTTTACGACGTTCTAACAGGTCCCGATTTTCCCGACTTTTGGGTCATTGACCTGACCTGCAAGGTCAACCAATGACCTAGGACCTTAAAATTAGGTATCATCGGCTTCCTCTCGTCACGGGCAACACGCTCGTTTTTTCCGCGAAGCTCTAGCTCGATCAGGGGCGAAACGGCAAGGGGGGGGGGTCCAACGGACCCCCCCCCCCCCTTATACGTTCGCGGCTGGAAAAACACCAATACGGGCGAGGGTTAAGCAATAAGCAAGTCTTTTGATTTTTTAGATGTCGAAGTCTAAGCAATAGAAAACATCACATAATAACAGGAATTTTATATTTTCTCTATTTCTTATTGCATAGGTATTTAAGGCCTTATCACCAAGGTAAATGTTCAAACCTCATAAAGGATTACTTTGCGTAAACGAATCGTATAGGAATGTTCATTGAATAGTATCAATATCACGAGTAAACAAATAGATTTAGTGCTTGGTCGACACGCTGTCAAAAAAGTAATTGACGACCGTCAAGCAACGTTGACTGTTCAGTGCTCACAGCTTAGTGCTATTCATTTGAATGCCTCGAATGTTTCCCACTAGTTATCTCATTATTCTTCCGATACCATAGCCTACTATGAACGTCAAACCCCTTGAGACCCCACTTTTTTGCGATAATTTTTAAATGCGTCAACTTTCGTTGACAATATTCTGGCAATGTATGTTTCAGAACCTGCCGAAACTTTTATTACTAAGGTATTTTGACGCCAAACGATTATGGAAGGTACTTCTCATTCACTCGTAATGCTAAGGTCAATTCAGGCCCGGGCAGAGGCTTGCGCTCGGCCACACTCGAGCCCCGCCACCAGCGCCATCTGCTCTAAATGCCATCTACCAGCGCCCGCTACCGCTACCAGCTACCGCCCACCATCAAGCCTCAATGGAGCGAGGGACGCGAGTGACCGGTCGCCGGGCAAGGAGCGCCGGAGGGGTAGGGCGGAGCTTAGCGCTGACGTCATCGCGTGGCTCCGCCCCATGAGCGCGTAGCCTCTACCCAAACAGCAGATTCGTTCCGTGAAATTTAACATTACGAGTGAATGAGAAGTACCTTTCATAATTGTTTGGCGTCAAAATACCTTAGTAATAAAAGTTTCGGCAGGTTCTAAAACACACATTGCCAGAATATTGTCAACGAGAGTTGACGCATTTAAAAATTATCGCAAAAAAGTGGGGCCTTGACCATGGGTGGAGAATGTTTGAAAAAGTTACCCCCGGCCGGCGACCGAAAGTCAGAAAGACGATGATGCACAAATATTTGTCAACGGTTATCAACAAACCCCTATTCTGTGGCATGGAACAATGGATGTCTGCCATTACGAGTTATCCAATGTTTTATTTGCAGTGATTTAGCTCGAATTTTTTAATGGACCGATTGACAGAGCCGGGGGCCCACGCTAAGCAGAGCTTGTTGCGTAGGTAGACCCCGAACCCTACCGTCCGATCGCGCAATTCTGGGTAACGGGATAATTTAGATGCCAAAGTTTAACGTGCCCTTCAAAGCCGGACACGGCCTGTCCCACTCAACTGACTTCAGCTGGCTGCGGCTGCTCCCACCAACCGCAGACCATCACCGTCAGGAGTCTCAAATATCGA